GAACCTGGTATAATTTCAATATGACAAGTAAAAGTTTGATTTCTCACTCAATAAGGATGGGCTGTGAAAAGTAAGCCTGAGGACTCTGGCGCTGTGGTGCAGCAGGTTAAAGCCGCAGCCTGCAGCGCCCGCATCCTGTATGGGTGCTGGTTTGAGTCCCGGCTGCTCCATTTCCAATCCGCCTCCCTGCTAATGCACATGGGAAAGCAGCGGAGGAGGGCCCAAGACTTTGGGCCCCTGCACCCACAGGAGACCCACAAGAAGCTCCTGGCTCCTGACTGGCTCAGCTCCGCCCACTGCAGCCAACTGGGGAGTAAACAAGCAGATGGAAGACCTCTCTGTCTCTACCTCTCTCTCTGCAACTCTTTCAAATAAAAAAAATCCTTAAGAAAAAAATTAAGCCTGAAGTTCAGTGCTCAGCAAACCGTAATTACCAGCCGAATATATACAAGTAATAAATAGTCAAATAACAGATATTCAAAGAATATTTTTTATTTAGTCCCATAAAAATGACTTTTGTACGAAACTGGCTGTAGCATCTTTAGAAAACACACACACGTACGGAGACTGCAACGAGAAGCACCCACACGGAGCCAAGGACGCCGCGGTCCTGCTCCCAGCCTGCTTCCGTCACTCTGCTACCAGCGTCTGACTGCTTTGTTACCAGCAGTCAAACACGGCGCCGCGTAGGCGGTTTCTCCTGCCACATTATTCTCAGTATGAATCAGACCAGTGACCAAATCAATCACCCCTTGGGTCACAGTCTATTTCCCGTGCCTTTGGTGTCACTGTGCCGGAACACGTGTGTGAATGCCAGCAGGCGGAAGTACTGAGTCGAAGGGGGCAGACGCTCTAAGACGTCCCATGCGCAATAACACGAAGCAAAGGGGCCTCACGCTGCCAGCAGCAGCCTATTCCCCGGTCATCTCAGGGAACTACCAGTGAACACGCGCTTCCCATCTCTGGCTCGACAACTGTTCTCAGAAGCAGCTCTGAAAGTGCAGACTCCAGCTCCCCTCCAGGTTCTCCCCTCCGAAGGCACAGGCAGGCACGGACCTGGAGCTGGCAGCAGACAGCAAGGGCAGGAGTTCTCCACCTTCTCCCCGACTTCAGCCACCAACACCCAGGGGCGAGAGGCCCGTCCTGAGCACCCCCAGCGCCAGACCGCAGGGCACGTTCTCTGACTCAGCCAGGAAACCCACGGATTCAGTTCCTATGCAGAAAAAGAGGTGGGGCGGGCATTCGGCTCTGCAAGTGCACAGCGGGGCGGGCCCACCAGGCGTCAGTCAGAACAAGGGATGGGGACGGGGCTGACAGTGGGAGCGGCCGAGGCAGAGCTGGCCCAGGGGGCCGTCAGCCCTGCACCTGCTTCGGCACTGAGACTGCTCGGAATTTCCGGACAGACCTCACGAACACAGCCAGGCTGGAGGCTGAAGTGTGGAGACAAACTCCAGATGCACACGCGCAGACGTGACCGCTGCGTGAAGAGCGCTCAGACAAGCACGACAGCACCAAGCAGGCAGGGCAAGGTGCTAACGCTGGCTCGGAAGAGGTGGTGACTGAGATCTTCCTGGGAACGGGCTCAGAGCAGCTGTCTTAAGGAAGGTCCGAGAACATCAAGAAAACACCAGAAACAAATCAGAAATTATCAGAGAACAGACACCGACATTCAGATTCAACCCAAGACAGACCACCCCACGACGTACTATAGTCAGACTGTCAAGGTCAAGAGCAAAGAGGAGGTCCTGAAGGCAGCGGGAGGGAATAAGCAAGGGGCGCAAACTGCTCACTGCAGACGTCTGAGCAGAGATCCTGCAGGCGTGGAAGGAACGGGACACAGCGGGCTGAAGAAAATAAAACTGCCAGCCAAGAATGCTGGACCCAGCAAGTATCCTGCAAACCTGAAAGACGTCTGCAAGCCCAAGCTGAGGGAGTTCACGACCATCAGACTTGCTAACCAGAGATCTTCAAACTGAAACGAGGCTAACGAGAAAGACAAGAACATCTGGCTGGTGGTACAAACCTGTTAAAGCACAAATTCAGAATGCTCTGATACTGCAATCGCGATCTCGAAGTCATTCAACTCTCCAGTATGAAGATGAAAATAAAAAATAAAAACTGCTGGGGTGGGTGTATGACCTAGTGGCTAAGATGCCAGATATGATGCCCACATCCTGTAACAAAGTGCCTGACTGGGCTCCTGGCTCCAGCTTCCTGCTAATGCAGACCTGGGAGCCAGCGGTGACGGCTCACGCCGCTGGGAGACTGAATTCTGGGCCTCCACTTTCAGCCCAGCTCAGCCTCTGCAGCTGCAGGCGTCTGGGAGTGAACTCATGGATGGGAACACTCTAATAAGTTTATAATAAGACTATTTTTTTTTTTTTTTTTTTTTTTTTTTTTGATAGGCAGAGTGGACAGTGAGAGAGAGAGACAGAGAGAGAAAGGTCTTCCTTTGCCGTTGGTTCACCCTCCAATGGCCGCCGCTGCAGCCGGCGCACCGCGCTGATCCTGGCAGGAGCCAGGAGCCAGGTGCTTTTCCTGGTCTCCCATGGGGTGCAGGGCCCAAGCACCTGGGCCATCCTCCACTGCACTCCCTGGCCATAGCAGAGAGCTGGCCTGGAAGAGGGGCAACCGGGACAGAATCCGGCGCCCCAACCGGGACTAGAACCCGGTGTGCCGGCGCCGCAAGGTGGAGGATTAGCCTATTGAGCCACGGCGCCGGCTCTATAATAAGACTATTAAAAATAATAACCACAGTAACTGGTTATGGGATATAGGCAATAAAAAAGGTTGTAAATTGTGACATCAAAAATTCCAAACGGGGGCCAGCGCTGTGGCACAGCAGGTTAAAGCCCCAGCCTGTAGCACCAGCATCCCACGTAGGTGCTGGTTTGAGTCCAGGCTGCTCCACATCTGATCCAGCTCTCTGCTGTGGCCTGGGAAAGCAGTGGAAGATGGCCCAAGTCCTTGGGCTCCTGCACCCACGTGAGAGACCTGGAAGAAGCTCCTGATTCCCTGCTTCGGACCAGCTCAGCTCCAGCCGCTGTGGCCATCTGGGGAGTGAACCAGTGGATGGAAGACCACCCTGTCTCTACCTCTCTCTCTGTAACTCTTTCAAATAAATAAAATAGATCTTCTAAAAATAAAATTTCAAAATGTCGGGGTGGCCACAGTGACACAGTGGGTTAAATGTTACTTGGGACACCCACATTCTGGATCTGAGGCCAGTTTGAGTTCTGGCTACTCTGTTTCTGATCCAGTTCCTGCTAATGCATGCTGGGAGGCAGCAGATGATGGCCCAAGTGGTTGGGCCCCTGCCACCCATGTGGGGACCCAGACAGCTCCGGGGCCCAGCTGCAGCCTGGCCCAGCCCTGGCTGTTGCAGGCATTTGGGGAGTGAGCCAGCAGACAGGGCTCTCATTTCTGTAGATGGAAATAAACACTTTAAAAAAATTCAAAATGCGTTATAGTTATTCCCAGTTACACGGAGGAAGGAGCCTGCCAAAACATACTTAAGTAAAACAGACAGAAAGCCAAACAGGCACGTTCTCGCCGTGTGACCTCCTGGAAGGAGAGCAGAGAGAGGTGCTCACCGAGGGCTTGGGTGCCAAGCGGGGAGGAGAGGGGAGAGGTGGTCCAGGGAGACACAAGTGCAGGTAGCGAGGAGTGAGATGGCATCTCCAGGGTCCAACGCAGTGAGGAGCAGGCGAGGGGCTGCCTGGGCCCAGGGGCTGGGGGCGGATATCCGGGAGGAAGAGAGGGTGGGAGGGACCACTGATGACCCGGGAGCCTCTTCTGGGCAATGACGCTGGGCTCCGACCGCGATCATGGTGGTGGCTGCACAGCTCTGGGCCCACCAAGGCCACCGCGGCGTGCGCGTCACTATGTATGTGTGACCTTACACCTTTCAGGAGAGCGTGCAAATTACAGAACCCAGAACTGCCTCTCTTCAGATGACGTGCCGTCAACTGGATAAACCAGGAACACAGGGGTCACTGAGTCGCCCTCTGCTGGTGACAGGACCAAGGTTAGGGCCACCTTCCGGCCCCCAAGAGTGGGTCTCGTGTGCCAAGCACGCACCACCAGACAGCCGGCCTACAGGCCTAATGGACCGAGGGCTGAGGACAGCAAGGTGTTCCCACCTGTCCCTCCCCCTGCACAGGATGTGTCTGCTGACAGGGGCGGGGCCGAGGACGAGGACAGCCTCCACAGACGCCACCCTTCTGCAGTCACAGCCAGGACGGCTGGCTCTCACATCCAGAGAGCTGCTTAGAGAGCTCGGCACTCAGTCTCAAAAATCACTTTTCAAATTGAACTTGTCCCTCTACATGGACTGTTCCTTGAGGTAGAACTTCACTGTGGCACCCTGTCAGTGGACCCACACTGCACCTGCATCAGACTCTGGTTTCCTGCGGGTGCCCCCTTAGACTGTGGGTTTCTGTGGGTGCCCTCTTAGACTGTGGTTTTCTGTGGGTGCCCTCTTAGACTGTGGGTTTCTGCGGGTGCCCCCTTAGACTGTGGGTTTCTGCAGGTGCCCCCTTAGACTATGGTTTTCTGCGGGTGCCCCCTTAGACTGTGGGTTTCTGCGGGTGCCCCCTTAGACTGTGGGTTTCTGCGGGTGCCCCCTTAGACTGTGGGTTTCTGTGGGTGCCCTCTTAGACTGTGGGTTTCTGTGGGTGCCCTCCGTTGACCGACAGCTTTTCAGGCTGGTGGGGGCCGTGGGGAGGCAGAAACAGAGGCCCCACGCGGGCTCCTGCAGCCACGTGGCAGTGGAGACGAATCACAGGCCACCCACAGAATCAACACTGGCGATGTCTGGTAACATTCTGCAGACTGCCTAGTCAGTAAGGCGCTCAGTGAGAGATGCGAGTCACAAAACCGTGCTCATGTCACTTCGTTTTGCACAATAAAAATCCCCTCCACTATCTGGAAGTAAAATAACGACTTCGTGGCTAGAATTCGTAAACACCAAGGAAGGGAGAGAGGCTTTCCAAACTGTGTCTGATTTTAAAACATTATTCAACACGATACGGCATCCCATTCAAACTAGTATTGTGAAGCATCTGAAGTTATTCAAATAGATTAGTTTTACCAAAAAAGAAGAAACAAAGGGAGAAATGTTCATTTTTGATGATTTTCCGTTTCTTCACCAAATGATGAGCAACTTAGGTCTTTGTGCTGAGACACTGAGATGACGCCTGTGACACAGGACGGCTGGGATTTCACTGCACGAGAAGCAGGGTGGGCTCGGGTGGGCTCCCTCCCAGGGGAACAAGAGGCACCCCACGGGTGCTAGCCAGCTCTCTAGCATCTAGAAACAACGTTGATCATGGCTCCTGGTTCGGAAGGTGCAGGCCCAGGGCCTCACATGGTGATGGCGCCCTTGCCAGCAGCGACCAGAGGTGGCAGAGCGCGTGTCTGGATGCAGTCTCCAGCGCCGCCGCCAGGGTCCCCCGGGGCTCAGGCTCATCACTGAATGGAATCCCGTCAATACAGCCCCCAGCCCCACTGTCCTCTTTGTGTGGCTGTCTCCCCTCAGACAGGGCTGACTTACAAGCGTGCTTGTGCCACTCGCAACCGCAGAGGGAGGGCCGGCTAAGTTACTACAGCCCAAGGCCAACACTGCCTCAGGGAGACGCCGAGGGGCGGGAGCGCGGCCTGCGTGGCTGCTGTCCAAGCACCTGGAGGGGAGTGGGCTTGTGTCTTCATGCATCAGATGGAGGCGCCACGTGCTGCGGCCCGGAGGTGACTGGGAGGCGGGCCTCCTGTGCCAGTGCCGGTGCCCCGGGTGAGCTGGCACCACTCTTGCCAGTTCTGACTCCTCCATGGCGTCAACCAGAAACTGCTGCTTAAAGTCTGGATGAACCCTAGCGTTCTCGATGTCTTCAAGGCAAAACCAGACAGACGTGCATAACGCGAAGCAGTGTTTATCCAACTGTTCGTCATTAATTCCATCTGAAGTTAAAACACTCCAGTAAGCACCGCGGGGAGATCTGCGGCACGGTGAGGACAGACGAACGGCTCAGGACTCCCAGGCACGGCCTCCGCCGACAGGACAAAGGTCTCTGCGCCCGCTGGTCCCGTCCCACCAGGCGAGACGCTGCTAGGACAAGGCCGGGATGAAATACTGGAGGGAGACGTCTTCATGAAGCAGATCAAAGTGAACAATCCTGTTATGCACAATATCTGGGGGAGAAAAACCCACGATTTCAGAGACGTCGTAGCTCACGCGGCTCCCCAGCCAGAGGGCGGCCTGTCCAGCCGCGCCTCCCGCAGAAAGCACCTGCCTCCCCCGAGGACCCGGGGTCTGCAAACTCTGCTCTCGTGGCCCGGGCTGGGGCTGTGTCCTGGCTTACGCGGAAAACTCAGAAAGCTTCCTGACACCCACATCCACAGGACGTGACAGGAGGCAGGAAAAGCGACAGGGTACGGAGAGGAACAGGAGATGCGTGGCAGCGCAGCAGGTGGGAGTGTTGGGGCCAGGCGTCTGCGGCGCCCACAGAACCACCTGAGTGGTGAGCGGCGGGGCCAGCCAGCTGCAGAGATCACCCCAGGCAGCACGCGGTCAAGCAGGCAGACAACTGCTCAGGAGGGGTGCGGAGGAGCACAGAGGAGGTGGGGCGGGGACGGGGTGGGCAGGGGCATGTCCCTGAGGAGGGGCAGCTGGGCCCACACCTGCAGGAGGCTGCTGGGACAGAGCGCGGGGGCAGGAGGGTGGCCTGGGGCAGAGACGAAGGAGGTGCACAGAGTTTAGCAGAGGATTTTCCTATTCAACTTCTGCTGCATCACAATTTGCTGGTCCCTGCCCCTCTCTCTCTCTCGCTCGCTCGCTCGCTCTGCTACACTGGGGCACACCACAGTGGACACCCGAGAGCTAGCCACCCTTGCTGGTAAGAACGCTCCTGTGTGGGCCGGCACTGTGGCACTGTGGGGTTGATACCCTGGCCTGAAGTGCCAGCATCCCATATAAGCACCGGTTCAAGTCATGGCTGCTCCTCTTCCAATCCAGCTCCCTGCTGTGGCCTGGGAAAGCAGTGGAAGATGGCCCAAGTGCTTGGGCCCTGCACCCGTATGGGAGACCGGAAGAAGCTCCTGGCTCCTGATTGGCACAGTTCCAGCTGTTGTGGCCAACTGGGGAGTGAACCAGCAGATGGAAGACCGCTCTCTCTGCCTCTCCTCTCTCTTTGTAACTCTGACTTTCGAATAAATAAATAAATCCTAAAAACAAAACAAAACAAAAAACTGCTCCTGTGTGTGTGGTCTGTCGGCCATGGGTGACTGCTGGGAGGCAGGACAGCTGCAGTGCTGTGCAGGCCCCGCCCAGGGCCGCCATCCAGGGGCTCCACCCTGTGCACTCCTGGCACCAGGGCCCTGCTGGGTGGGCCAGGGCAGGACGTCATCCAGGACTTGCTGGAAATGCAGTCCCGAGGTCGCCCAGAGCCACACACACAGAGTCGTGTGCAGGTCTGCCTCAGGGGACCCGCAAGCACACCAGCGGCAGGAGAAGTGCTATTTCCCACGCACCACGCAGCTCACACCTCCCCTGACTCCGACACCGCCTCTGCACCACCCGGCGGCTCTCCTGCAGTCTCTGGCTGCTCTTCCGGCCTCTCACTCAGGACCAGGCCCTGCCTCCCTCTGCACAGTGAGGCTGTGAAGGCTCGGAGGCGCAGCCCTGGCTCTCTGCACGAGGGCCTGGGAGCCGCCCCCCACAGCCAGGCCGCAGATTCCCTTCAGTTGTGGAAACGCTGGTAGCAAGGAGGCAGAAAGAGCCGTGAGGGCAAAACCCGCGGAGCAGCCCTGTACTGTGCTTAGCGGACGAAGGCGGGGCAGGTGCGCATCTCAGAGACGGGACCAGGCCCAATCCGGAGGGCCACGCACAATCACGGGGCAGCAGACAGAGGACACAGACAGCAGGGCGGAAGCTGGAGCTAACGCAGAACTGCACGGGAGCTGAGTCCACCACACCAGAGCGTGCTGAGCGCTGATGACCCCGCAGCCCTCCCGTCTTCCTCTCCAGGCACACCCCTGTGTGATGGACACGTGGAGCGGCCCGTGGCCCACCTGCCAGGCGGCGTGGCCTCAGGCTTCTGGCTCCCCTCTGCTGCCACCTCTGGGTCCTTCTGAACCCAGGAGCCTTAAGCAACCAGCAGTAGAGTCAGAGCCACCCACCCACGCTCCTGGTCTCCAAGGCCGTGCGTGGTCTCCCGACCACGGGGGACTAAGGAACACAGAACATGAAGAACAAGGCAAGGGCACTCACTGCACAAGGCCCTCGTGGGGTTCACCTGCTGCCCCGCCAGGAGCTGCAGCAGCTTCCTGATGTCTATCTGCACTTCGGCCATCTGGTCCGGGCTTCTGTCTTGAGAGGCGTTTTCAGAGGCTAAAATGACATCAATGTTTACTTTTAAAAAACATGTATTTATTTATTGGGAAGGCAAGGCAACAGGGAGAGGGATACACCTTAGAGAGATATCTTCCATCCTCTGCTTCATTCCTGCAATGGCCGCAACAGCCAGGTCTGGGCCAGGCCAAAGCCAGGAGCTGCATCTGGTCTCCCACAAGGATGGCAGAGACCCACGTCCTTGGGACATCACCCACTGCTTCCCCGACGCATCAGCAGGAAGCCGGATCAGAAGTGGAACGTCTGGACCTGAACTGCCGTCCCACACGGGATGCCAGCATCATGAGAGGCCACACCGTTGGCCCCTCATCACTATTTTCTCATCAACATTTTGAAACGTAGCCAGACACCTGAGGCACTTTTACTTAGGTAAGTAACACATCTTACCCCTCATTCCGGATTCCTGGAGAACACTGCAAGTTGTAAATGCTGTCCCTCTTGGTACCAGCCACGTAAAACACTGCACTAATTCCCAGCCATCTTCCCTTACACAGCTTAAACACATGGCGCAAGCTCCCCGTGGTGGAAGGACACCGTCCTCACTGGCACTCACTGTGCACTGAAGAGTGAAATGCACACAGCTCACGCAAGGCCTCTCAGGGTACAGCCAAGTGCAGAAAAGAGGTGCTTTCAGGCATCCCATATGGGCGCCGGTTCAAGTCCTGGCTGCTCCACTTCCCATCCAGCTCTCTGCTATGGCCTGGGAAAGCAGTGGAAGGTGGCCCAAGTGCTTGAGTCCCTGCACCCACGTGGGAGACCTGGAAGAAGCTCCTGGCTCCTGGCTTCAGATTGGTGCAGCTCCAGCTGTTGCGGCCATCTGGGGAGTGAACCAGCGGATGGAAGACCTCTCTCTCTGTCTCTACCTCTCTCTGTAACTCTGTCTTTCAAATAAATAAAATAAATTAAAAAAAAAAAAAGAGGTGCTTCAATGGAACACACCAAATGTACACCCTGCTTTGTGCGCATCAGGCACCAAAACAGCCGTTAGGCACCGTACGGCCATGCTCGCCAGGATCTCTCAGCAGCAGCACGAGTCCCTCGTGCCACACCAGCGTCTGCGTCTGTACTCAAGCACACTTGAACACGCGGCTTACCTCTAAGTGCCTGGCTGACCTGCTGCACACTGTGTGTGCATCAGTGTTTCTCTGTCAGCAGCAGGTGCCGTGACCTGGTCCTGGCCCCGCTCCTTGCCGAAGCAGCCCCGGGACCCTACAGCCTACAGCCTAGCCTCCCAGCCCCAGAGGCTCACTGCTCACCACCTGCTCAGTGCCGAGTGCACCGACTCCACGTCCCTTACTGTCTCGTGTAAGGTGACAAATGGGACCACCAGGATCGGTTAATCCGATTCCCTAAGTGCAGCAGTGACTCGGAGAAAACAGAAGCCAGCTCCGCCTTCCTGACTGCGTTCCTGGAGAGGAGCACACAGGCAAGAGCCGGGCCTGGGAGGCGTGAGCGCGACTGCAATCCAGAGGCGCCCTGGCTGCAGGTGGCCCGGCCGCTGTGTTGCAGGACAGGTGCAGAGGTCCTAACGCCTGTCCTGTCCCTAAGCAGCAAACAGAATTTCAACCTTAACCCTGAGACCTCTGCAGATGCCCATCTGAATCCATCCGTTTGCCAAGCGGAACACAGCGCATCAGACAACTTACCCAGCGGGGGGTTCCCCAGATCTCGAAAGTGAGTCGTCACGCACACAAGCTCGGTTTCTATTTTCAAGTTCAGCTCTCCATTGAGGTTTGCCTCGATAACCTGCAAAGTGCGGAGTTTACATGGTTTTAGAGCAGGCAGGCGAAAGGAACAGCCCCGGGGCCTCAGTTTCCACACAGCCTGGTGAGGAGGTGTGCATGGGCTCAGAGCACTCGGGGACAGCGAGGCCCGAGAGCGAGGACCTGCGGGCAGACGCGGCAGAGGCCCGGCTGGCACATCCCCCTCTGACCCGGTCACTGCTGGGCCGGGGCTAGGGCCGCAGTGGAAGGAACGGGGGCAGCACCCTTCAGAATCAAGCAGCCCAGCATGAGGGGCGCAGCACGGCGGCTCACCCAAACTGAGAGCTCGGGATCACGAGAAATCCGGGCGGAATTCAGGCAAGGAAGCGAAAGCAGAGAAGACCACCTTCTCTGTGCACGGGCACGCGGCGGGCACAGCCATGGGCGCCGGGGTGGGAAGGTGAGACGGGAAAACTGCCAGTCAGAACCAGGGGGACAAGGAGCCAATCAGAACCGCGGAGGAGAAGCGCGGGAAGGAAACAGGGCACAGCCTGGGAAGCGGGCAATGCCAAGCGAGCCGCCGAAAACCAAAGCCGTGCAGGGCACCGACAGCCGTGGTCGGGCTGCCCCAAAGGAGGGAGATGGCCACGCACTCGATGGGCCTCCGCACACACGGGCAATCCCAGGGTATGCAGTGCCCCTGCCTCAAATCAGCGAGGGGTCTCAGAGTTCATGGAAAAGGCATATGCTGGCAAAACTAGGCGTGGATTTGAGAACTTCTCTGTGCCACAGTTAGCCTGTCTGTTACTACCATCTGTGAGACAGTTAGCCTGTCTGTTACTACCATCTGTGAGACACTCCCAAGCCCCTCGAGTGGACAGGTCAGCGTGGAATCAGAACCGGCCTCCGGGCCAGCCGCGTTACCCCGGCACAAGCCGTCGTCGGGGCGCCCGGCAGCTGCAAGGTGGGTGCAGCAGCGAGAGCCCCGTGGGAGGAGTGCAGGGAAGCCTGCCATGCTCGGCTCCACTCCAGCCCAGCGAAGGTCACTTAGCGTGCCACACCCCTGCGCCCTGGAACTCCTCGTTCCAGAAACAAAGTGAGATTGTTTGAGCCTGGGTGAGCTCTTACTTCTCAGCCTTTGACATTTAATAAAAAAAAATCATCTCGTTAACTTCCCTTTGAATGAGAAATAACTTTTCAACCCGTTCCTTCCATGAACCCGGAAATGTGTGTTCCGTTTCCTGAGCCCCTCTCCCGTAGTCACGAACAGCACGAGAGGCACGTCCCCTGGGCCGCTCCGGGCTGCTCGCTGGGCGACGGCTTGGGTAGGTTTTGAGCTGAATCAACACCTTCTCTTGAGAATCGGCTGCATGGGTATTTGACTGTAGCACCTGGAGCTGACTGCGCGCTGGGGCTCTGTGAACACGGCACGCGACGTGCACCGCTTGTGTTCAGCAACCACGCCCAGGATCGGCAAATTCCCACTGGTTTTGAAAAGCTACAGTTTTAGATATTGTGTGTGTGTGTGTGTGTGTGTGTATTTTTTTCCTCCAAAGAAAACAACCTGCAATAGCTCTAGACTTGTTTCAGGCTTAATGGTCCCTTATGTTTTCCTCAATTCCCAAGACGTCAGTAATAGAACAAACCTTAGATTCCAGCTCGTGCCTGACGCCACCCAGGTCTGGCCGAGGAGGTGTTCAGTCAACACCCAGAAGGGAGAACAAGCAGCCACCGCACAGCGTCACTGCCTGCTGGTCCAGGACCCAGCGACATCTGACCCCTGAAGGTCAGGATCACATGCCACCTCTCGGTGACTGCGGCCCCACTCTGACCCACGGCGTGCTGACGGATGGCTGACTGCACCGGGCACCTAACTCACCTCTACGTTTCCAAAAAGTGCCAACTCCGTGTGCGACGGACCCAGCAGCAGGTGCGTGGCTCCAGCGCCTTCCCTCCCACGACATGAAGCCTCTCACCCCCCACCCAGCTCTCCAGCGCCTTCCCTCCCACGACATGAAGCCTCTCACCCCCCACCCGGCTCTCCAGCGCCTTCCCTCCCACGACGTGAAGCCTCTCACCCCCGACCCGGCTCTCGTCTGAATCACGAGGCTAAGCCCGGGAAGCCCCTCTCGGGTAACGTCTGAGGTACAACATCCCGGGAGCTGGTCTGAAACCCAAAACCTCGGGCCAGCTCAGACCTCCCAAATCTAACCCTGAACCTGAACCAGATCCAGGGGACTGACAAGCAGTGCAGACGAGGGACCTGCTGGGGCCCTGGCCACCTCTCCTGTCTGGTCTGAGCCCACATACCTGCTGTCCCCAACATCACTTCCCACATTAAATGCAGGGAGGAACTGCATGCCCCTGGCAGGAAGGAGGACGCCGTCAGTGCTGCGCCTCTTACGTTCCTACCGCACCGCCCGCAGCATTGGGACCTGAAACACGGGCCCCCAGCTAGCGCCCACTATGCACGCTGAGACGCCAACCTGTTCACCTCCCTGAGCAATTCCAGACCGCAGACCACTCCGCGGACGTCCACGTGCTCTGTGAGCACTGCACAGACAGACAAACAGCCCTGTGATCCTGGGGCCCTCCCACTGCTCTACTCCGCTGACACTGCCTCTGGACAGACAAACGAGCAGATCCTACAATTAACCGCCCAACCTTCTCCCCTGGGCCTTTCAGTCTCTCCAAAGGACAGCCGACCCTAGAGGAAGCCAGCCTGCCAACAGCCCCACAACACCATCACAGGGCCCAACAACAGCTCCACAACACTGTCACAGGGTGCACACGGCCTCAGCACAGCCTAACAATAGCTCCACAACACTGTCATAGGGCCTGACAACAGCTCCACAACACTGCCACAGGGCGTACACTCTCAGTACAGCCTGACAATAGCTCCACAACACTGTCATAGGGCCTGACAACAGCTCCACAACACTGCCACAGGGCACACACTCTCAGCACAGCCTGGCAACAGCCCCACAACACTGCCACAGGGCGCACACTCTCAGTACAGCCTGGCAACAGCTCCACAACACCATCACAGGGCCTGACAACAGCTCCACAACAGGGTCACACGGCACACACGTGTAATTCCATTTTCTGCCATCTTCCTGAAGTACCCTCGCACTGCAGCACAGGGAGCGGGGCAGACACGAAGGCCATGGCAGTGAGTGAGGGCTGAGAAGCACTCACCCCAGGGCGCGACTGCAGCTCTCAGCGGCGCCTCGTGGGGCGCCTGCCCACCTCGACACCCTCCCAGCGCCTCCAGGAGGGGCAGCCCTCAAGGGCCCCCCCAGTCCCGCACAGACTTTTCTGAGAAGCTTCACTTACAAGGTGGTTGCTGATGTTTTTCATCTTTTCCACAACACTCCTCATGGTCTTCAGGACAGGCAGATAAATGCTCACCTAAAGAACCAGGGAGAACAGTGCAAGCATGAAAACACGAGCAGCGTGTGATAACGACAGATTCCTGACTGACTCTGGAATGCACGCACGCTTGCGTCCTGCTTTTAAATGATCTGAATGAAGCTCTTCAAAACACAGGGGGACCCCGTTTCTCTAATTTCATTAACTCACAGCAATGAAACAAAACTGGAGCACGGCATGCCTGCTCTGCCCCCCTGGGCGGCTTGTCCCTAAGCACCTAAGAAGGACGGCGGCGCTCAGCGGGGCCTCTTCCGAGCTCTGTACACGACAGGGAGCAGTCACTGCGCCACCCCGAGGCCACGTCACCCGTGTGCTTCATCCAACGCTGCCTTTCCCCAAGTCCAGGCGGCCCTCGGCGGAGCCCAGTGATCATCTGTCCAGCACAGAGTTCTGAATTTCTTCTGCAGCAAACGGTGAGCAGGAGGCCAGGCCTTTGGGCATCGTCTTTACTCTCCACAGCGCTCGGTCACGATCACGCCCTCCTCCCGGCTCTGTGACACACATCCAGACGGCTGTGCCGCGGGACTCGGGTCCTCAGAGACCCGAGCTGACCACTCGGTGCCGCTTCAGGCCTGCCCGGCGCTGTCACTGAGAGTACGGCACGTCCATCAGACGCGATCGTCTCTCAAGATCTTTCTTGCAAATAACAAAGGCATGACTCAGATTTCTCCTTGAACAGCCCTAAAAATGAATGCCACTTTCTCTTCAGGCCCTACACAACTCTGAAAACAAACATGAACACACCCTAAGATCAATCAAAACCACAGAATTCAAACCCTGCCCTTCATGTGCCCCGAGGGGCGAGCCCGCAGACGGCACTTACGTCGGAATCTGGGATGCAGGGCTCCCGGAAGTCCCTCCACAGTCTCCTCGGGATGACCTTTATGGGGATGTCGTGCGTCACGATGCGACTGCTGCTTGACACGGATATCTGGAAAGACAAGAATTAAAAATGGTTCTGCTATCCGTGCTAAAAAGCCAAGTTACTGAGGACCAAAAAGTTGAACTATCTGATGGAAGCCGAATGCTGTCAGTACATTCTCTCAAAACCCACTCAGCCAGGCCGAGGGAGCACCGTTCTGCCGGCACCTGGGAAGTGGGCCCTGATGTTCCGGCAGAACCAGGACACAAAGAAACGGCGAGACGGCACGAGGCGCTCGATACAGCCTGGAAGGAAACGCAGGAGCGAGACCAGGCAGAGCCTGAGGGAGGCTGCTCAGACTGGGAGGTCACCCGCAGATGCTGCCAAGGCCAGGAGAGGCAGCCGGGCTGGCGGCACCGGGCGAGGGGCCGCGCCCCAGACAGCACTCCGAAAACAGCCCAGCAGAGCGCGGGGCAGACGCAACGCTGCCTGCCGCGGGGAAGCCACGGGGAAGCCGCTCAGCTCCCGCGGCTCATCCTCTGCTGGAAGCTTCAACCATCCAGATCTGTGGCGAGGGGCTCTGAGGGGCTCCAGCCAGGCCGTGAGTACCGGCCCGCTGCAGAGAGCTGAGGAGTCGTCTTCCACAGAGCTGGGGCTGAACACCATCGTCACCGCAGGCTGTAGAGTGCGACTCGCAGAGAAGACGCGGGGACGGGGCGGGGGAGGCGGCCGCCATGCCCAGGAAGGACTCAGCCCGCGAGTCGTCGAGTCAGCGAGCTGCAGCACTGGGCCGCGGTGTCTGACTGGGCCCTGAAGGCCTTGTGAGGAAACGGGAGCCACCGAGGGGCCCTGCGTGGGCTGACTCGCGGCAGCAAAATGAGAGGAAGCCACTGCCCGCAGACGGCCTGGGAGAGCACGGCTAAGGGGGAGACGGACAGAAACGGCTGTCTTTGATTCAATTTCTATTTATTTGGAAGGCAGAGTAGCGGAGACACAGACGCCCCGAGTGCCAGTTCCCTCTCCAAATGCCCCGCACAGCCGGGACTGGGCAGGCAGAAGCCGGGAGCTGGGGGCTGGGTGGCAGGGGCCCAGGGCGGGGCCAGCCGTCACCTGCCTCCCCAGGGGTGCACCAGCAGGGCGCAGGAGGCCGAGCTGGCACTCGCACCGGCGCTGGCATCCCCAGCACCAGCGCGGCCACCACTCCCGGACTCACGGGGGCTGGGGCGGCGCGGGTTCCACCGGCTGCCAAGGGCGGGGGCTGCCTGGACTCCGTGCGACTGGAAATAAGCCCCCCGCGGGCCGCCCGCCGCTCACCAGCTCCACCGAGACGGTGAGGCACGGGAAGTGCCTGTTGGTGAGCTTGACCTTCAGGGCCCGGGCGTTCTGCGCCGTCTTCAGGGCCCGGGCGAGGTTTTCCGACGTCAGCTCCAGGTAGATCTCGTTGTTGTCCGCGGAGACGCCCTCCATCTGAAACTCGCTGAAGAAGTCCTCCTGCTGCAGCTCGCACCACAGGCTCGCGCCGCCGCCCGCCAGCTTGTCCGACAGGATGAAGTTGAGCTTGTCCGGGCTGATGCGCAGCGCGCACGTCTTGGCCAGCTTGGCTACCATGTTGCTGACGCCTGCGGCGGGAAGCGGGCACGGAGACAGAGTCGCGCGGCGCGCCGGCCCCGGCCCTCAGCGCCCCGGCCCGCTTCCCGCTTCCCGCTTCCCGCGCCGGCCCGCCGCGGGGGACGAGCTCCGGAGACGCCCCGGGCGCCCGCCTCGCCCCGAGAGCGCCCTGCCCGCCCCGGCCCGCGCCCCGCTCACGGGTGAAGTGGTTCAGGCAGCCCGCGTCCACGATCTTGGCCCGGAACTTCATGTCGGCGCCGGGGAGCGCGGTCGGCGGCGGACACGCGTCCCGCCTCGAGCGGCCCGGCCCGGAAACGCGGCTGCGCAGAGTGGTTCCGCCGGCTCCCGCCGGAGGCCGTGCCGGGGCGTCCTGAGCCCGCCCCCAGGGAGGAGGGGCCTGGCCACGCCCAGGGAGAGGCGGGGCCTCCTGAGCCCGCCCCGGGGAAGGCGGGGCCTCCTGATGCCGCTCCGGGGAAGGCGGGGCCTCCTGAGCCCGCCCCGGGGGAGGAGGGACCTGGCCACGCCCCGGGGGAGGCGGGGCCTCCTGAGCCCGCTCCGGGGAAGGCGGGACCTCCTGAGCCCGCCCCCAGGGAGGAGGGACCTGGCCACGCCCAGGGAGAGGCGGGGCCTCCTGATGCCGCTCCGGGGAAGGCGGGGCCTCTTGATGCCGCCCCGGGGAGGCGGGGCCCCTGACCACGCCCCCAGGGAGGAGGGACCTGGCCACGCCTCTAGAGGGGTGGGCCCTAGTCGGGCCCCGGATGGGGACTGCGGCGTGCGGCGGAGGGGTGGAGGGTCTCCCCTCGTCGTGACGCGGGTGTCCGGATCTTGAGAACATCCAGATGAAACTAAGCCCTCGTAAAGCATTAGAGGAAGTACCGCCCCAGAGCGGCGGCCCCAAGCCTCGGGCTGGGAGCGGCGTGGTGACTGGGACCCGGGGTGCCAGGGTGCCGGGGTGCCGGGGTCCTGCCGCTCCCCGCCCCCGTCAGGCCGGTAACCTCTCCGTCTCGGGGAGGTCAGGGATTCCTTCTCCGTCATCGCCCCTCCCACCCCCGTCAAGGGATTCCTTCCTCATCACCACCCCCCAGTCAGGGCGATACCCCCCCCATGGTGATCCCCCCTCCCGCAGGCCGCTTCCCTCTCCAGCTCAGTGATCCCCCCTCCCCCATCAGGGCGGTCCCCCAGTCAGGGAGATAGGGTGACTCCCCCCTTCAGATAGGGGACTCCCCCGGTTTCCCCCCACAAAAGGCCGATCCCCCCATCAGGGTGCTTCCCCTCATCAGACCTGTTCCCACCCCCCCCCACAATCAGGCCGGTCCCCCACCATCAGGCCGCTCCCCCCCATCAGGCCGGTCTCTCCCCCCCACCAGACTGGTTCCCCCCATCACAGCACTTTTCCCCCATCAGGCCGCCCCCCCCCCCCCCCATCAGGCCAGTTCCCTCCCGGCCAGGATGAGCCGCTCCAGATCCCGGATTCTCGTGAACTGAGCCATGTTGTGAGAATATTTTTTTTCTTAGACGAAGTTTTGAAGGGAGAACCAGGCACCGCTGGGTGCAGGGTGGTTTTTCAAGGCCGGAGGATTCTGCCTCAGCAGAGTGGACGTCGCCCTTAATCTGACTTCCAGAACGGATGTAGTATTCATGGTAATGGCGACGCGCGTGTTCTAATGTGCAAGGCACAAAACTGCAAACAGCTTTTCTCTATTTTAAGACCTAAAACTGAAGCTGAATCCTGGTCGGCCTTGCTACCTGGAATACGTATGTCAAAGGACGAAAATCGTGGTAACACTGCCACGCACAGATTACTTTTCTAGTAATAATGCTTTGAAACCTCTCAGCCCCATGAGTGCCCGGGCGTTCCTGAGTTTTAATTGAGACCAAATCGGGTTTATCAGTTCCGGAGAACTGAGATTGGACGGCGGAGGCTCCCAGCCAAGGATGGGGTAACTTTTTTTTTTTTTTTTTTGACAGGCAGAGTGGACAGTGAGAGAGAGAGACAGAGAGAAAGGTCTTCCTTTTGCCGTTGGTTCACCCTCCAATGGCCGCCGCGGCCAGTGCACTGCGGCCGGCGCACCGCGCTGATCCGATGGCAGGAGCCAGGTGCTTTTCCTGGTCTCCCATGGGGTGCAGGGCCCAAGCACCTGGGCCATCCTCCACTGCACTCCCGGGCCACAGCAGAGAGCTGGCCTGGAAGAGGGGCAACCGGGACAGAATCCGGCGCCCCGACTGGGACTAGAACCTGGTGTGCCAGCGCTGCAGGCGGAGGATTAGCCTAGTGAGCCGCGGCGCCGGCCCTAACTTTTCCTTTAACTCACTGCTACTGGAAGTTGTCTTCACACGGGTATAAAACACCTATTTGCTTCTTTCTTTCTTTTTCTTGATTTTCGAAAAGCTTTGTTGTGGTCTTAGGCACTGCACTCTAACTGGTTCTGTGTGTTTATGAATGGTATTGATTCAGTGGCTGGTAAATTTACATCTGTGAACTTTCTAGTTTTCCTGGTTTGCGATGTTTTCTTTATGTCGAGGAGTTCATCAGATGTTCTGCCACTAGACATGGCCAGAACCCGTCACTCATTTGTACTTTTTACTTAAAAAGGACCAGCCGCTCATCCAGCAGCATTTCCCCGTGCCTCCAGTCCGGCGTCACAGAACAGCGGCGGCGAGGACGCGGGCCCGGCGCAGAGGGGCGCACCACGGCCAAGGCCCGGAGGAGAGGCTGTTGGATCGCACTGTCTGTGACACGGCAGCACTCTGGCAGCCCGCATCCTTCAAAGCCACACTCCTGCAGGCTCAGTGAATTCGCTTTCGCCGTTTTATTAGTAAAATCCATTCACTTTTTACTAGAAAGTAGGAGCCACTTGGAGGCTTTCTCCCACTCCCCGTTTCCCTCCCTGGGGGGCAGAAGCCCTTGACTGCTCTGGACGTGTGGTCGCAGCCTGCCACACGGCTCTCTAGGTGTGGTCACTGGGGGTGCCGTGCACCCGGAATCGGTATAAGCAAGTGTACTGCGGGTGCCCCCAGTTGCTAAGGACCTTAAGTTTCACACACGATATGGATTCAGGAACTTCATGCTGAAAATAAAGAAAGCGAGCGTTAGTGCCTCCCAAGGACATCCCCGTCCAAGAATCCCAGTGAATGCGACCACTGTGGAAAATCCAAACTCTCTCTTGCCTTCCTAACACAAGCATTTCCAAGTGCTGACGGAATGGGTGAGAAAAGGAGCTGTGTTAAGCACAGCGCCCATGACCCGTCCAGCAGACGGGCAGGAAGGGAAGTGCCCGCCCTCCCACTGCTCCTGCCTCCCCCGGGAGGCCGCAGGGGGCTGGCTGCTGTGTGAACACCAGCTCTGTGCAGCCAGTGCAGAAGCGAAGGCATGACCCCAAGCGCACGTGAACCTACAATTCGAAGTGAACTTTGTCGTGGATTTGTCCTCACTTGGTATCTGCAGGGGGCTGGTTCCAGGACCCCCGTGGACACCAAAACTGGTGGCTGCTTGGGTTCTTTATATAAAATGGCATGGTGTCTGCATTCAACCCTCAAACCAATCCCTCCACCCCTGCAGGTGCACTCAAAATCATGCCTAGGGAGCCGGCGCCGTGGCTCAATAGGCTAATCCTCCACCTTGCGGCGCCGGCACACCGGGTTCTAGTCCCGGTTGGGGCGCCGGATTCTGTCCCGGTTGCCCCTCTTCCAGGCCAGCTCTCTGCTATGGCCAGGGAGTGCAGTGGAGGATGGCCCAGGTGCTTGGGCCCTGCACCCCATGGGAGACCAGGAAAAGCACCTGGCTCCTGGCTCCTGCCAGGATCAGCGCGGTGCACCGGCTGCAGCGGCGGCCATTGGAGGGTGAACCAACGGCAAAAGGAAGACCTTTCTCTCTCTGTCTCTCTCTCTCACTGTCCACTCTGCCTGTCAAAAAAAAAAAAAAAAAAATCATGCCTAGGTGATGTGTAACAGCTAATCCAATGTACACGCTATCCAAGCCATGGCTGTACAGTATCATTTAGAGAACAGTGACAAGACAAAGGCTGCACGTGTTCAGTACTGATGCATTTTAAAGACATTTATTTATTTGAAAGGCAGAGTTAGACAGACAGAGAGAGTCTTCCATCTGCTGGTTACTCCTCTCAAATGGCTGCAATGCTCAGGGCTGGGCTAGGCTGAAACCAGGAGCCAGGAACTCACTGGGGGCTTCCACATGGGTGGCAGGGCCCCAGGTACTTGAGCCATCGGCCACTGCTTTCCTAGATGCATTAGCAGGGAGCTGGATCAGAAGTGGAGCAGCTGGGACTTGAACTGCTGCCCAAATAGGATGCCAGCATTGCAGGTGGCAGCGTAACCTACTGTGCCACAATGCCAGCCCCTATTGGTGCATTTTTTTTAAATATTTTTGAGGGGCCAGTGCTGTGGCATAGCAGGTAAAGTTGCCTCCTGCAGTGTTGGCATTCCATATGGGCGTTGGTTCAAGTCCCGGCTGCTCCACTTCCGATCCAGCTCTCTGCTGTGGCCTGGGAAAGCAGAAGAAGATGCCCAAGTCTTTGGGTCCCTGCACCCACGTGGGAGACCTGGAAGAAGCTCCAGGCTCCTGGCTTCAGATCAGCCTAGCTCTGGCCATTGCGGCCATTTGGGGAGTGAATCAGTGATTGGAAGACCTCTCTCTCTCTCTCGTTCTCTCTCCCTGCCTCTGCCTCTCTGTAACTCTGCCTTTCAAATAATAAATGAATAAATCTTTATAAAAATATTTTTGATCAATGGTTGGTTGAATCCAGAGGCAGAACCCATGGATAAGGAGGGCCAACCGTATGTTGTTTCTGACTTTGATTTCCTTGTGACTGACCAAGAAATGTCACAAAGCACTTGTTTTTTTAATATGAGATGCCTCAATCATGTCTTTGTTTACTTCTGGTGACTGAGAAATAAGGAAAAAATACTTCATATACCTCAGGGAGTTTATAAGCTAACTGTTGGGTTAGGAAGAGGAGTTTTACTACATTATCTGGTATTAAATAGTCCATCCACTTCATATTGCACCAACCCAACTTCCCTTAACCCAAGGAAGAGGAGAAAGCGGGTGGAAACCCAGCATCGAGGGAGCAGCAGAGTTAAGAGAAGAACTGAGATGGACAAAAATGCCCCAGCAGATGAGGACGGGTCTGACCTAGGAACCGCTTTTGTGTTTGCCTGTCTCACATGGAAGCACTTGGAGCTGACACCGGGGCTGAGATAAGCCGTAATCGCGTTTCTGTCTTACCGAGTCTCGCACGGCACTTAGCATGAAGCAGCCCCACAAATCCTCCCCGCGCACCCGTTACCTGCAGTTCAAACGTTTGAACGGTGGTTTCTGTCTTGTTATATATAAACTGACCCAGGAAAATTCCTTCCCCTTCACATTTTTTCATGACTCCCTGTAAAGACAGCACCAGACATGGATGTTATGATGTGTGGTTCTTGGTTAAAAATGCCTCTGTGTGCCGGCCAGGGACAGGGCTAGTGCCCGTGCCCGCCTGTCCACTGAAGGGGCATTTGACTTAAGGGTTCACGAGGCCAGAGGCTGGCACAGGAGCGACTAGATAAATCGTGGAGATGACCAGAGTGGAGATAAAGCTGGGGTAAATGCAGAAAGGGAAGATAAATAGATTAGATGAGCGATCTATAATGGGTGAGGTAGAGGGAGCAGGGAGAAGACATGAAAGGTAGGTGGTAGATTGACAGATGAGAGAGATGACAGAGTGGGCAGATAAAAGAAAGACAGAGACATATAGAGCAAATCCCAGCATTAACTTTGGCCCAAGAACTGGATTTGCAGTCTGTTGGAGAAGTCCCCATGTTCACCCAAAGTCTTCCAAAATGAGATAAACTCCATCCAATCGCAGACTTTGATCACACAACAACGCCCTCCAAAGAACAGGAGCTTCTGACGACTGACAGGAACATTGACGTCCGCGTGCAGCTGCCCTGTGCATTTTGCCCCCTGCACCTCCGGATCGAGGCTGTGAGAGGCCACCACGCTGGTGTGAATTAATGTATCCTGTGACTCTAAGGCTTATTATAAGGCTTGGCTGATGGTCATTTCAAAGAACCTTAGAGCCCCAGTCCGTGGTTGGTCACTGCCCTCCCCAGGCCCTCAGCTGTGAGACACAGAATGGAGCCAAACCTAGTGGGTTGAGTCCTGCCTGTGACCTCGCCGGTGGCCCCACAGCCTTCTCTGTCCCAGGAGCTCCTCGGAGCGTGTGGGTGAGCCGATCCCTCCCACATGAAAGATACAGGATTCCTAGGCTCACTTGCCTGGTACCACGTTCCTGCGCCTCCAGAAGCAATGGACAACGGATGCTCTGATGAGAAGCTCACCCACGGGGCCCCACCATGGGCAGAGTTTTAGCCATCTTTCTGCTACTGCCGAGCCATGAATGCGACAGACAGATCACAGACACTGGAGGAAAGCTCTTTACAAGAAAGACAGAGATCCTGTAAACCAGGAAGTGGTTTGGAGATAAAGAGAAGGAGTCGAAGAAAACTGAACCAAAGTATAATTAATATCTTCAGAGGCATGAGAGAAAATCCTGCAGCCCTGAACATTTAAAAAAAAAAAAAAGAAAAAAGAGGTTTTATATAAGGGAGCGTTGGGGCTGGCACTGTGGTGAAGCAGGTAAAGCCGCCGCCTGCAGTGCCAGCATCCCATATGGACACTGGTTCGAGTCCTGGCTGCTCCTGCTCTCTGCTATGGCCTGGGAAAGCAGTGGAAGATGGCCCAAGTGTGTGGGCCCGTGCACCCACGTGGGAGAACTGGAAGAAGCTCCTGGCTCCTGGCTTCGGATTGGCCCAACTCCGACAGTTGCGGCCATCTGGGGAGTGACCAGCGAATGGAAGACCTCTCTCTCTGCCTCTATGTAACTCTGCCTTTTAAATAAATAAATAAATAAGTTTTTTATAAAAGGGAGTGTTTGCAAAAACAAAAAGCCTTAGGAAGTAAAATCATGACAGCAGAAAGGAAAAATTCAATACAGAGGTAAAAGTATAAATTGATAAAATCTCCCAGAAGGTGGAACGAAAAAAATAGAGGATGAAAATGACAGAAAGGACTTTTTAAAAATAATAATTAGACAAGAAGCTGAACTCTCAGGATGCTGGAATGAAATGTCACAATAGCAGTCCCGTGTCAGGACTACCAGGCAAGCAGATGGGAGGAGGTCAGAGAGTTCAGAAGCAATATCCAAACGAGGAGGAGGAGGAAGGGAGGAAAGTAGGAGACGTGTGAGTTCTCTGACATGAATTAACACAGTGCGAGGACAGTCACACTGCCAAAGAAACCTTTGGGAATGTTTTAGTGATGGAAATATAAAAAACTAAGCAAATTATATAAAAATATGGCAGTTGTGTTCAGAAACATGCAAACATCATACAGAAAACAGTATTCAGATACAGTCCATGGTTCACCTGAGAACAAGTGAATACTGCCTACAACAAAAGTAAGATGCACAGCCTAGCAGAGCCTAAACATTGCACACGGGTTCACCCGGTGACCGAGCAATCCCAGCCTTGGGCATCTACCCACGAGAAACACCTACCCAGATGTCCACACAGAAACCTGCACACAGGTGTAGCAGCAATGTTCATGATATCCATAGAAAGTGGGAACGCATCAAATGCCCACTGACTGATGAGGGGATAAACAGATGTAATACATCCGCACACTGAGACATCAGTCAACGATGGAAGAGAAGAGATGTTGACATACGCCACGAGGATGCAGCTTCAAAATATTGAGAAGTGAAAGAAGCCACTCCCAGAAGACCACACGCGTGACTCTGTGTGTAGGAAGCGTTTGGGACAGGTAAACGCTCCGGGACAGTGCAGATCAGCGGAGAAGCAGAACTGACGGCCAGGGGGCATGGGTTTCTGTGGGGTATAAAGTGTGCTAAAACTGACTGATGATGGACACGCATCCAGGGACATACTAAAACCATGAGGTGTGCACTTTAAGTGGGTGAATTCAACGCCATGTGACTTATACGTCCATCAATCCGTGCATTTAAAAAGTCAGACACAAAGATATTGAGAGGGCCGGGGAACCATGGAGATGTCAGCAGGTCACAACCAACACTCAAAACTCAGGAGACAACAGCCAACGTGAATACGGAGACAAACACCACACGAACCAAACACGCTGGAAGCTCCCAGCGGAGGGACAGCGGGACCAGGAGCCACTGCCTCGTGACGGACCTCGTGGAAACCTCGGGTTTTAAGTCGTACGCGTGTAACTTCGGTGACAGTAAAAAATGAAATGAACTAATAGAACTCTGACGGTCCACACCTGCCCCTGGACCGGTGAGAAGTGGAGTCACAGAGTAAGTGACCCATAGTTGATTGCACAGCAGGATGGGTGTGCAGCTCCTGTTTCCTGGGCAACCGTCTCCCTCCCAACCCACTCCCAACAACAGACTGGACAGCTGCTCACATAGACAGAGAACTCCTTGGGTGCGCTGGAGATGTTTCCTGAGGGAGACACCTTCTCAGAAATGTGCTCTAAGGTGACAGCCGAGGGCACGATCTTCCTGGCAAGCTTGATCAGGGCGTGCCCCTGGGACCCCGGGAAGGCCCAGCACTTTCCCGGGTGGACGTCCGGCTGGAAGGGAAACACGGGTTGACCTCTGAGCTGGTGCAGTGAGCCCACCACACTGCAGCGAGAATGGCGATCGACTGCCTGCCACATGAAGGCATGGTGCAGGGTGCCCACCCGACAGGGACTTCGGGACCCCCAGGTTTTGTGGCTCTTCTGGAGTGCCCTGTCACAGGCATGTGCGCCTGTGTCTCTGCCTGGGCTGTGAGCTGCCAGGAGGTGCAGTGTTCCTGGTGAACAGCGATGTGTGGGGGGTGAGGATGGTGGTGGGAGCACTGTGGGGGGGGGGCTGACGGGGACGACGGCGGCAGAGGAAATGGTCACCACAGTGGTGGTGCCAGTGGTGACGGATGTGAGGATCACGGTAGCACCGGTGGTCGTGGTGATGAGGTGGTGACTGGGTGACAGTGGCACAGGCGGTGGGCTGGTGATAGTGACTGAAGCAATGCCAGTGACGGCGGGGATGATGGTGACGGTGATGTTGGTCCTGGTGGTACAGAAGAGGAAGGGGTCTCACCATCTTCTGAATCAGACACCGTAGCCTGGAACAGATCCGAGGGCTTCCCTGAAGGCCCTCTAACTTGGGGACTTACTTGAGGTGTGTGGATCGTGCGAAGAAGCATTTTGCCTCTCAAACTGAACTGAGAGATCCAGTGGGAATCCTACCTGGCCATGTCTCCTGTAACAACTGGACTGGATAAGCACATGTGGCCCCATAGCACTGAACACAGTCCTGGCACTTGGGGCACGAGCACTTTCAGTAAAGTGTGACTGACCAGTTGTCAGCAGAAGGGAAGGCTAAAGAATAGATTTTTTTTTTTTGACAGGCAGAGTTAGACAGTGAGAGAGAGAGACAGAGAGAAAGGTCTTCCTTCCATTGGTCCACCCCCCAAACGGCTGCCACGGCCGGCGCACTGCGCTGATCCGAAGCCAGGAGCCAGGTGCTTCTCCTGGTCTCCCATGCGGGTGCAGGGCCCAAGCACTTGGGCCATCCTCCACTGCACTCCTGGGCCACAGCAGAGAGCTGGACTGGAAGAGGAGCAAGCGGGACAGAATCCGGCACCCCAACCTGGACTAGAACCCGGAATACTGGCGCCGCAGGCAAAGGATTAACCTAGTGAGCCGTGGCGCCGGCCAGGAGTAGATTTTAAAAGGTATAGAACAAATACATTCTATTTGATAAGCAGATAGTTTACTGATCTTAAAATAATAATAACAACAATAATAATAATAATGAATCATTCACAGTTCATGGCCCATAAATAGGAAAAGGAGATGATTTCCGGTTGGGTAATGGGTTCAAGGGCTCTTACACGGCCTCCGTTTTCCTACCTTCATGATAAAGCACAAGAACAGAATCCTAAAGCTGAGCTTAGCTTGTACCTGAAGAATGACATCCGGAGGCATTTCATAGTTCAGGAACCCTATCCCGTGCCAGTACAGTTTTGCTTTGTCGTTTTTGTAGCTTTCTGAGGTTCCAGACTCAATGATGGAGGCTCCTACAATTGCAGAACAATTAGAAGCAGAAGATCACACTGTCCAAAACACATCAGCTGCGTTTTAAAACACTGTTGGATAATTATAAACGAGGTAAAATTCATACTGATAGCAGCTACGGCACGTCTGTCCCAGTGCCCGGGGGAAGGCTTCACAACTCGTCCAAGACTGACACAACGACAAAGTGCTGAATTCTGCAGTACTTGGATTTGAAATGGAAATGGTATGTGGATCCCGTGCGTTATCCAAGGGGAAACACGGGACTTCTTATTTGAACCGGTCATGTGATAAAGGACACTTCTGTCTGTCCCATTCATCAAAAATAAGAGAAGCAGAAAAGCAACCACGAGTTCTTTGTAGACTCCTCCGACAGGCAGGGGCCCGCAGCGAGGCCCCTGGCCACTAATCCAGGGGGACAACACTAAAACCGTTGCTTTGTAAAAAGGGCCTTGAAGCCTGGGCGTTTAGAGGAGCAGCGGCAGATTCTTCAGCGCACAGGGAGTAACCCCGGGGCACCCCCGGCCCCGTCCGGGCCCCCCAGCTTCCTCCGCAGGCTCCCAGCGCGGGCTCTCCAAGCCGCACGGCTCCCAGTAACCGTTTCCAACCTCCCCGTTATTACCCAGGCTTACCAAACTCCCCCCCGCAAGGCACCAGATGGACGGACGTGTCCCTCCGGCAGGTAAGCTATAACAATTGCAGTAACCAAAGTGGTAAGCAAACGGACGCAGAGCGGCGCGGAGGCTCCACGCGTGTCTGCGCGCGCCGTCCGCGCGCCCGCTCACTGCCTCTGTACTCACCGGCTGACTTCAGGGCATAATCAGCCATCTGCACTTGGTCCTCTCTCAACTTCTTAAGCACGTAGTTGACCAAGTGTGACATTTCCTGTGCAAATGCGAGACATTTTTCTGTGAATCTTTGCTGCTCGTATTTTGATGCCTCGCTTCACTGATTTGCACCGAAACTGCGCACTCTGCAAGGCACAGCGCACCTGCGGCCGCGAGCCAGGCACCGCACGTGGGGTCGGGAGGTCACCGTCCGGCCGGCGCACATGGGGCACCAAAGCCTGGGATGTGTCAGGGACCCGCACGCCTTCCCGCGGGCCGACACCTGCAGTGCAGCACTCTGGCGGCGGGACTGCGTGGGGGGGGGGGGCTGCAGCAGGACCGCGGCCGCGCCCCGCTCTCGTGGGTGCCCAGCAGAGCAGTCGTTCTGCGGTTATCTGGGAACCCAGGCAGCTCTTGACGACTGCACGGTCGCTGATACCAGGGCTTCAGGCTCTGGAGGACGCTCCGATGTCAGCACAAGGAAGGACGGGCAGCGTGCCTGGGAGCTGGAGCCCCCACCGACAGGCGCAGGTGGGCAGCATCTCAGAGCGGACGTTACAGAGGGGAAGCGCGGAGGGGAAGAGGGAGGGGGAGGGGGAGGGGGAGGGGGGAGGAAGAGGGGGAGGAGGAGGGCCTACTCGGCTGAATACAGCAGCGGGGCGGCAGTGGGTGGAGGCTGCGGGTTCTGAGCCGCCCCTTGTTTTGGGTTCTAACTGCGGCTGTGTAGGTGGGAGGCGGGCAGGCCTGTGTGGGTGGGAGGCGGAGCAGGCCTGTGTGGGTGGGAGGCAGGGCAGGCCTGTGTAGGTGGGAGGCGGGCAGGCCTGTGTAGGTGGGAGGCGGGGCAGGCCGCAGTCCGGGTGCTCCCCGGGCCACCGCACGCCTGAAGAAGTGGCCAACCCCAGGGAACGCAGAGAAGTCAGGGCGGAGCGCGAGGACCGGCCGCGCACCCCGCACCGTGCCGCCTTGCCTCGTCCGGGTCCGCGGCCCCGTCCTGGTCCTGGGCGGCCCTCCAGCTGCGATTGTGCGCGCCCTCCTGCAGCTCCCTCAGCAGCACCTTCAGGGCGTTGATTTGTTCGATGAGAAACAGAATTTCTCGGAAATTGTTCTCCAGAGTCTGGCTTTCCTTCCTGCGAGGGGAGACGCACAGGGTGAGAGGGGAAGCCCGGGTCACCGCGAGGACGCGGCGTGTTAGTGTTGAGGACGTGAGCTCTCGCGTGAGGGGAGAGCAGGTGCGGTCTGCCCACGGGCGCTCTGCACCGCGAGGAACGCCTGGGCACGCGCCTGGCCTGCTCCCCGGGGGCAGGGCTCAGCCTTCCTGGCCGCTCACTGGCGGGATCAGGAGCCTTCCACTGGGATGCCTGTCTGAAGTCAGTGCCCTGGCAAGCCAGGCGTGGTTGGGGCAGCTGGGAGCAGCCGCCTCGCGCCGGCAGAAACGCGTTCCACTGCTCTCACAGCTTAGAAATTACTGGTAGGGAGAAGAAGAAGATGCCCGGGAACAAGATATTTGTATTGAAAAAACCAGAAGAACTATTTGTCCAGTATTTTTCCCCAAAATGCAAAATGATGCCAATTTAAAATTGGGAAAAATACAAACATTTCAAAGAAATAAGCACTGAAGTTTGGCTGTGTTTCAGTTTTTATTCTGTGCACAGAACTTGCGGCAGAATAGCGATAGTGACTTCGTGCCCCACTGCACTTCCCAAGTGTCGCAGGCACGTGGGGTCAGCTGAACGCCCCTCCTAGCCCAGCCACTAGGCACACGTGCTCTGGAAACTGAACCCCGGCCAGCTCACACATCCGGGCTGCTTTCACGTTCTCTGATCATCAGTGGTTCTGAGAGCCCGTCCCAGGACACAGCTCCTTACGGGATGAGCCGCAGAGGTCAATATAAAGGCACGGGTGACCTTCTGAAGTCACAGAAACGCTGTCTTGTTTCAGAACTACTTTAGCTTATGCGAAAGACGGAGAAAGAAGAGCTGCCCCAGGTCCACTCCTTGCAGTGGGCGGCGTCATTCCCTGCATTCCTTATGCTCTCTGCACAGAGGGAAAGGAAGAGGGAGGGAGGGGGGGAGGGAGACCGGCACACCAGTCTGCCTTTCATTTCAAAATGGCATGTCTGGTTCTATTCGAGTTTATCGGAAGGAAGCCCCTCACTGAGGCAGGCGCGTTGCCCCCAAACAGATCCTCTGGGGGTGGGCAGGAGAAGGGCATGCGGTGACTGTGTCCGCTCATGGTTTCACACAAAGGCCTCAGTGCCGGGACTCACGTGGGAGGGGCACTCACTTCAGAAGCTCCAGGTGCTCCTTAGGCATTCGAAGCCGGGCCTGCAAGGAGAGAGAAGCACTGGACAACCGCCCACTCCAGCCGTGCTCCTTCTCCTTCCCCTCCTGGACCCCGGAGACGCAGAGCACGGAGACACAGAGCCGGGCACACGCGCACGCTGCGAGGCCCTGCGCCTTCCCCAGCCTCGCCTGCACTCTGGTTAGCTGGGGAGGGGTGGGTATCACAGGCCTCCTCTCCCCTGGCAAGAGCTCTTGGATGGCACATCCTTTCCCGAGGAGGAGGAGGAGGAGAGGCGGGAGGAGGGGACAGCAGCACTAGGGAGCACGTGGCCTCGCAGAGGGACGAGTGCTCCGGCTCAACTCTGTAAACGAGGCGGCGTTCTCCCCTTTTTAATAAAAGGGGATGCGATTTCTTTGGAGTCAAATCAGCAGTAACTCTCAGGGGGTGGCAGCACAGCCCCGGCCCTGCCAAGTGTCGGCTCAGGAAGGTTGCGCGTTTGCACAGGTCTGGCCCGGGGAGACAGAGCTGCTGTCTTGGACATGGAGTGTAGCAGGGTCAGTAAGGGGGTGGACCCCGGAGATGCTGGTGGGCACTTGCTCACATATGAGGTACCCTGGGGCCGTTGGCCTGGGCATGGGCTGAAGCCCCACTCACCCACCCTATCCGCCTGTATACAGCATGGGGCAGGCATGCACACACACACACTCACACACTGATGCACACATTCACACGTACATACACATTGGTACACACACACCTATAACCATGGGCTTCACTTCAGTGCACAGACACCTCTACACATACACCCTTACTGGTGCACACACACTCATAACTATGCACACTCACATTCACACTCACACAGGCACACACTCAGACACACATGCACACACTCTCATACACATACACACCTACAGGTGCACACACACAGGCACATGCATGCCTACTGGTGTGCACTCACACAGGCACATACATGCACACACACTCCCACACACAGACACACTTACTGGTACACACACTCACACAGGTACATACACATTGGTACGTACTCATAACCATGGGCTTCACTTCAGTGCACACACACTCCTACACACATACACACTTAGTGGTACACACACTCATAACCACGTACACTCACACTCACACAGGCACATACATACACACTCCACATACATACACACTTACTGGTACACGCACACAGCCATGCACACTCACACAGGCACACTCAGACACACATGCACACACTCATATACATACATATCTACTAGTGCACACACATTCACACAGGCACATACATGCACACACATTCCCACACACATACACACTTACTGGTACACACACTCCCACACACACACATGCCTACTGGTATACACTCACACAGGCACACACATGCACACACACTCTCACATACACACTTACTGGTACACACACACTCGCACAGGCACACACATGCACACACTCTCACATACATACACACTGGTACACACACACTCACACAGGCACACACATGCACACACTCTCACATACATACACACTTACTGGTACACACAGGCACACACATGCACACACACTCCCACATACATACACACTTACTGGTACACACACACTCACACAGGCACACACATGCACACACTCTCTCACATACATACACACTTACTGGTACACACACTCATAACCATGTACACTCACATTCACACCCACATAGGCACATACATGCACACACACTCCACATACACACACTGGTACACACACACTCACACACATACATGCCTACCGGTGTACACACACACACAGGCACACACATGCACACACAGTCTCACATACACACACACTTACTGGTACACACACACACATACATGCCTAGCGGAGTTCACACACACACAGGGCACATTCATGCACACACAGTCTCACATACACACACACTTACTGGTACACACACACACATACATGCCTACCGGTGTACACACACACAGGCACATACATGCACACACAGTCTCACATACACACACACTTACTGGTACACACACACACATACATGCCTACCGGTGTACACACACACAGGCACATACATGCACACACACTCTCCCGTACATACACACTGGTACACACACACTCCCACACACATACACACCTACTGGTGCACGCTCACATACACGGGGCACCGGGGGAGGTCGCTGTTACCACCTGCTGTGTACAGTGAGAAGAGGAGTCGAATGAAACGGCACCAGTGTCAACTGTGCAGAGGCCGACCGCGGCACGCAGGCAGGGCAGGGAGAGCGGGGAGACGGGAGATCTCGCGAGAGGCCACTGGGGAGGACCGGCCGCACTCCCAAGGAGCGGCCTCAGACCTTCTTTGCCTACGCTTGGACTCGCCTTCCCGACAGATTCCACTGAACACGGTTCATCATCCGTGAGGAGCCCGGCACAGCGAGACCACAGTGGAGGGAACAATCCGCCCTCCTGGGCTTAAACCCCCAAACGAAGTCTTGCAGGAGTCCAGCAGTGGCGTCTGGAGCTGTGACCCGTGGTGGCCTCTCCCACCAGGCTGAAAGCAGACACTGCGTGTCCACCATCAGCCCCTACAGCAGCGGAGCTCACACTGAGCCCCCACAGACCTCGGCGCGCCTGCGTGAGTGTCCTGGGGCTGTGGCACAGGCAGCCACACCTGGGCAGCTGACCGCGGCAGCTCCACTCACCGTCCTGGAGGCTGGGACAGCTTCTGGGAGGTCCTGCTGTGTGCGCCAGGGGTGCCCCGCCTGTCGCTGACTCTCCTTGCCCGGCTTCCCCCTGTTCTGTGTCTTCCGTGGGGACGCCTGCCATGGCGTGTGGGGTCCACGTGGGCAATCACAGGCAGCTTCCTCTCCAGACCCTTGATGACATCTGACAAGGCCTTTACTCCAAGCCAAGGTCCCACTCACAGGTGCTAAGGCTGGACGTGGACGTGTCGGTGCGTGTGCGTGTGTGAGTGTGTGTGCATGGCAGGGGCATACAGTGCCCACCCACGTGCTATGTGGGGGAGAACGGTGGTCGGACGTGGACGTGTCGGTGTGTGTGCGTGTGCGTGTGCGTGTGGGGAGGCTACGGTGCCCACCCACGTGCTATGCGGGGGAGAATGGTCCACCTTTCTCCGCAGGTTAGCCTGCCCCTCTGCTTCAGGCTCGAGTTCCCACCAGTCTGTGCTGCCCAAACAGCGCCGTGCCCGGGAGACATTTCACAAACGCTTGTGTGTGGCGCACGGCGACCGACGGCCGTGGAAGAGGGCTCAGTGGTTGGCACAGGGACAGACCGGGGCTCCTGTGCCTTCCTCCCTGCTGAGCAGCCATCCTCCTCCTCAAAGGGCAGCTGTGCTGGGAGCTGTCAGGGGAGGCAGTGGGTCTCAGTCCCCACTGTGAAAGTCCGTCGTTCCGTCTGCCTCCCTGTCCCATTCCGGCTGCAAAAGGACTCCAGGAAACACCCCTCCCATTGCTGAAAAACAACTGGAGAGGTCCTCAAAAACTAGACGTCCCCACCGTTTTGGAAACAGTTTTGATTTGCCTCATTCTGGGATCCTTTCAGGCAGATCCCACTGCAAGAACACAAACCACGCAAAACCACGGAGAACAAAAACCCAAGTGGGGACTGCAGAGGGGAAAGGAGGGAACGTGGGCCGGGCCCAGGCGTGGTGAGCCACGGGCTGACCACGTGGGGCATGGGGAGGGGTGGCCAGCGAGCGAACCCAGCACCCAGAGTAAAGCCCAGAACCGGAGGTACTGCGGGGGCGGCTTGGAGTGTGGTCGGTGATCCTCCGCCAAGCTCTGTGGGCTGGTGGCCGCTCTGCAGGGCCCAGGGCCACGCAGCAGGAGAACGTGGGCACGTCCTGCACCCGCTGGGCGAATGTCCTCTGCAGCCGAGCTCTGCAGAGGCCCTGCCCCCAGCAGGAACCACAGGCCACGGGAGGGCCTTGTGTGGGGGCAGCGCAGTCAGCTGAGCAGGTGTGGGACTTCAGCCTCCGCAGGAATGCGAGCGGAGCAAAGCCACACACAGAGCCGCCGACTGCGTTTCATGTTTTTTCCCACATAACGTTGGCTGCGACTCAGACTTGACGTCTCAGAACCCGGCTCTGGGGTAGTTTAGCTGGGACAGCCCGTGCGGGGAAAGCAGTGTCTCACGCGGCCGTTCCATTCTCTTCTCAACAAAACCCCGGAGGCCTCTCATTTAAAGCCACGTGGAAGATGCGCCGGGTAACGGCTAAGACTGACGCTCAGCACTGGCCTCGGATGCCAGGATCTCAAGTAGCCTGAGATCATACTCGTGGCAGTGGTGATTCGGCAGTCGCCCCGGCGATGCGCGGGACCAGGAGGACTTCTGCCCAGCACACGGCAGCGAGCGGATGCAGGTCGGGTCTCGGTGCCACCTGGACTGGCTGCAGGCCACTGCCCCATCGCTCTGACCTGGCCCTGATCTCCACGTGGGTTTAGCGGTGCTCCTGGTTAAGGATTTTGAGGATACGGTGAAGTGTGTATTTCACGTGCCGATGCTCTCTCCTGATGCGTGACTGTCATCACCACCCCGTCCCCTCTCTAGCACTGAGTTCCAGCGCAGTGTATCCTGAGTAGACGCAAAGACGAGCGCAGGGATTTAGCTGCAAGGATGCTCAGTTTTGTTTTTTTTTTTTTTTTTTTTTTTTTTTTTTATCTGTTTGACAGGTAGAGTTATAGACAGAGAGAGAGAGAGAGAGAGAGAGAGAGAGGTCTTCCTTCTGTTGGTTCACCCCTCAAATGGCTGCTATGGCCAGCGCGCTCTGCTGATCCGAAGCCAGGATCCAGGTGCTTCTTCCTGGTCTCCCATGTGGGTGCAGGGCCCAAGGACCTGGGCCATCCTCCACTGCCTTCCTGGGCCACAGCAGAGAGCTGGACTGGAAGAGGGGCAACCGGGACAGAACCGGTGCTCACATGGGATGCCGGCGTTGCAGGTGGAGGATGAACCAAGTGAGCCACAGCGCTGGCCCCATTCGGGGTTTTCATACTGAAAACCTGACAGCAATTCCGTTGTTCAGAATTAGCATTTATTGAATATGTTATTCACGGGCACGTTACTCAGCCATAAAATGCTGCTACAAAACAGTGTCTAGACAGTGAGACATGTTTAAAATCCATGGTTAAGGGAATGAAAAGCAGCCACGACACAGCGTCCACTGCCTGCAGCGTGGGGTCTGGAAAGAGCTCACAGGGGAGTCAGCCACAGTCGGGCTCTGGTTTCGGGGGGTCTGTGCGAAGCCCAGCGCCACACTGGCCAGCAGAAGGAAGGCTCACGGCACAGCCTCAGCCTCACGGCGAGTCCTGCACTAGGAAGCACAGCCTCAGACGTGCCGGAGGGAACGGCTCAGCCGAGCGTGCCCGTGGGGCCGCAACTCGGGGAGGGGACCCGCCACAGTGCGGGGCGGGGGGGGGGGGGGAGGGCAGGACGCCTTCTGAAGTGGGAGGAGCAGCGCAGTCATTCACTCACTCATTCATTCACTGAACACCCACGTGCCTGGGGCGTTTGTGCCTTCTTGCTACGAAGTAACAGTGCCCTGGCCACAGCTCTGTCAGCCCCTCCCTCTGCTCTTTCAAGGTCTGAGCGTAGAGTGGACAAAGCTCATCCTGGACTGCTGGGGAGGTGGCCCGGGGATGGGGGCCCAGAGAGGCCTTGGTGGCAGCCCCAAGCACCGAGGGGCCTTCAGGATGTGGACAGTATCACACTGAGCAGCGGCGGCAGGTGAAGCGGCACACGGGCACGTTTGCCATTTTCTCTCTGTTTGGGGCTTCTCTGGGAGGAGAGGCTGTGCGGGAAATCTTGCAGCCTCTTATGCCATAAGGCCACTGAATCAGACTCCGTTTCCTGCTTTAATTCTATCAGACAGGTGCACACAAGGCAGAGACAGCACACTGCAAGCAGGGCCCGCCTCGCTGTGTATCACACTGCACAAGTCACTAAACAGCTCAGTATTACCTGGTAATTATAGAGCCTTGACCCAAACTCGGCCACCGCGGCGTACAATTGCCTGGACGTCTGAGAAAACTCTGCTTCCTGCAGCCACTGCTGATTTCGCAGTCCTGGGGACGGAAAGACCAACTCTAAGGTGCTTCTCTCGACACAGTCATAAAGCATCTCGCGTGCCTCCATGGGAATTTCCCTGGGCACAGAGGGCATGCACATACGTTCTTTTTTTTTATTTAATGAGCATAAATTTCCAAAGTACAGCTTATGGATTACAATAGCTTACTCCCCCCCGTAACTTCCCTCCCACCCACAACGCTCCCCTCTCCCACTCCCTCTCCCCTTCCCCTTCACATCACGATTAATTTTCAATTATCTTTGTATACAGAAGATCAATTTAGCGTATATTAAGTAAAGATTTCCACATTTTGCTCCCACACAGAAACACAAAGTATAAAATACTATTTGAGTACTAGTTATAGCATTAATTAAACACCTAAGAGTAATTGTGTATTAATTACAGAGTTCAACCAATAGTTTTAAGTAGAATATAAAATGCATCTTTTGTATTGTTGTGGCTTCCCCACCCCGACCTCCCTCCCGTGGCCCTCCCCTCTCCCACTCCTTCTCCCATCCCGCTCTTCATCACGTTTCATTTTCAATTACCTTCATATACTGAAGATCAACTTAGTATATACTAAGCAGGGATTTCAACAGGTTGCACTCACACAACCGCACAAGGTATAGGGTATTGTTCGACCAGTAGTGCTGTTTTTGAGTTTCATAGTTAAATATATTAAAGACAGAGATCCTGCGTGGGGAGCCTGTACCCAGTGACTCCTGTTGTTGATTAACAATTGGCACTCTTATTTATGATGTCAGCAATCACCCGAGACTCTTGCTATGAGCTGTCTAGGCTACGGAAGCCCCTTGAGTTCACCGACTCTGAACTTGTTTAGTCAAGGCCGTATCACAGTGGAGGTTCCTTCCTCCCTTCAGAGAAAGGCGCCTCTCTCCTTGATGGCCTGATCCTTCTGCTGGGGTCTTGTTCACCAGGATCCTTCATTTAGATTGTTTTTTTTGCCACCGTGTCATGGCTTTCCATGCCTGCGAGACTCTCATGGACCTTTTAGTCAGATCCGAATGTCCCAAGGGTTGATTCTGAGGCAGGAGTGCTGCCATTCTATGAGTCTGCTGTGTGTCCTGTTTCCCCCGCAGGATCATTCTCTCCCTTTTGATTCTATCTTTCATTATTTGCTTACACTGGTCTTATTTGTGTAATCTCTTCGACACTTACCCTATGTGGGGAGCAACCCGGACTAGACTAAGTTACTGGAATTAAGACTTATTCTATGCATCTGCTCTCCCACAATATGGCGCTGGGAGAGGAGAAAACAGCTTCTACGCAGCTGCCTCTTGCCAACTTGAGTGATGACCTCCAGGAGCTGATCCTGCTCCTGATTGGAGGAGAGCAGCGTACTCGGCGTGTGGGCAGCCGAATTGGGATTGGCGGAGGAGGACTATAAAGGAGGAGAGAGACAGCATGCACCAGGAACATCTAAGGGGAACATCTATCTGAAGGAACACCCGTGCAGCCCCCGAGAGAGCCGGCCGGCGGTGTGCCGCTCCCCCGCGGAAGTGGGGAATGTGGCAGGGGGAACCGCCCTTCCACGGAGGTGGAAGGGACAGTAGCCAACCCGGGAAGAACCAGCAGCAAACCCGGGGAGGGCCGAGCAGACAGAAGAACAGCGCAGGGTCCTGTGTCGTTCCTCCATGAAGATGGGGAGCGACATAATGGTGCCGTGACTCAGATATGAAGCCTAGGCAGGGTTTAGTGTCGTTCCTCCACGAAGAGGGAGAGCGACACTGTGGGGAGCAACTCGGACTAGACTAAGTTACTGGAATTAAGACTTATTCTATGCATCTGCTCTCCCACAATATGGCGCTGGGAGAGGAGGCAACAGCTTCTACACAGCTGCCTCCAGTTCAGCCAATAAACTGTAGGGCTTGCTCCTGATTGGAGGAGAGCAGCGTACTCGGCGTGTGGGTAGCAGAGTTGGGATTGGCAGAGGAGGACTATAAAGGAGGAGAGAGACGGCATGTACCAGGAACATCTAAGGGGAACATCTAAGGGGAACATCTAAGGGGAACACCTAAGGGGAACACCTGTGCAGCCCCCGAGAGAGCCGGCCGGTGGTGTGCCGCTCCCCTGCGGAAGTGGGGAATGTGGCCAGGGGGAACTGCCCTTCCACGGAGGTGGAAGGGACAGTAGCCAACCCGGGAAGAACCAGCAGCAAACCCGGGGAGGGCCGAACAGACAGAAGAACAGCGCAGGGTCCTGTGTCGTTCCTCCACGAAGAGGGGGAGCGACATAATGGTGCCGTGACTCGGATATGAAGCCTAGGCAGGGTTTAGTGTCATTCCTCCACGAAGGGGGGAGCGACATAATGGTGCCGTGACTCGGATAGGAAACCTAGGACGGATAGGAAACTTAGGAGGGAAGAAACGGGAAGAAGTGGAAAATACCGGAGAGAGAGACTAGAAGAGCCTAGGGAAAAGCCGGACGAAAAAGGTGCCGGAAGAAGCTATTGAAAGCCTAGGCATAGACTCGGATACGGACTACGGGGGGAAGCTGGGAGAAATCTCTAAGGTCGAAAGCGAAAGTGAAAGCTAGAACAAACAGACTCGGGTGCGGACTGTGGGGAGAGGCCAGGAGAAATGAGGGAGGAGTATTGTTGGAAGAAAGCTTGGGGAAACATACCGGGTAGAGAAAAATGTTAGGGAAATTGAAGCCGCGGGGGCAGGCCGAGGCGGAGACGAAAGCCACTTTGGGATTCTCAAGTTAGCCCGGGAATAGGGGGCGAAAAGTTGAAACCAGAAGCGGAAACGTAAGCCAGATTGGGATCCGTCTGATTAGCCCGGGGAGCAAAGGACGGGAAGCCAAATCGTGGGGCGGAGACGTGAGCTGGGTTGAATTCGCCAGGTTAGCCCGGGGAACTTAGATTGAATGCTAGTGGCGGAGACGTAAGCTACGCTGTGTGACTCGCAGAGGCTGCCGCGCGCAGAGAAAGCGTGCGGGGCACAAGTAGATAGGGAACACGGGGCTGGCGCGGAGACCGCGGAGTGCGCGCGCGAAGCCAAGCCGCGCAGAGCCGCGAAGCCGCGCAGATAAGAGAAGCGGGCTGAAGCGGCTCAGCCGGGAAGCCGCCGAGAAGCAGCCTCGGGGCGGGCGCCGGGAAGCCGCAGGGATAAGAGAAACAGAAGTTTAGAAGTAAAATGAGAGAAATAGGAATGTTGGCAGACAGAAGTAAAATGGGAGAAATAGGAATGCCCGGAGATAGAGAAATAGAGAAATAGAAAGGCCTCCCCACAATACTGCAATGAGAAGGCTTGGATTCGGTCTGCCTGATTAGTGAGGCGATGAGCACCTGCGGGCGGCTAGCAGCTTATGCGCCGCAGGTCACCGAAGACAGGCACGAATTAACATCAATAAGGCCTCCCCACAACACAGCAATGAGAGAGCTTGGATTCGGTCTGCCTGATTAGTAAGGCGGTAAGCACCAGCAGGCAGCTCGACCAGAGTATGAGCTGCAGGTCACCGAAGATAGGCACGAATCAACACCAATAAGTCTCCCCCACAATATGGCAATGAGAAGGCTTGGATTCGGTTTGCCTGATAGGGCTTGTAAGCACCTGCAGGCAGAGCAGAGCATGCGCTGCAGGGCACTGAACACAGGCACGCATCAGCGCCTAAAAACCTCCTCACAACATGGTGAAGAGAGGACCCGGATTCGGTTTGCCTGATTGATAGGACTTGTAAGAACCTGTGGCAACTCCAGCAAGTAGAGCAGAGTGTGTGCCGCGGGGCACCGAAGACAGGCGCATATCAATGCCAAAAAATAAAAAGAAAGGGGGATCTGTGGGGGGCAACTTGGACTAGACTAAGTTACTGGAATTAAGACTTATTCTATGCATCTGCTCTCCCACAATATGGCGCTGGGAGAGGAGGCAACAGCTTCTACGCAGCTGCCTCCAGTTCAACCAATAAACTGTAGGACCTGCTCCTGATTGGAGGAGAGCAGCATACTCGGCGTGTGGGTAGCAGAGTTGGGATTGGCAGAGGAGGACTATAAAGGAGGAGAGAGACGGCATGCACCAGGAACATCTAAGGGGAACATCTAAGGGGAACACCTAAGGGGAACACCTGTGCAGCCCCCGAGAGAGCCGGCCGGCGGTGTGCCGCTCCCCTGCGGAAGTGGGGAATGTGGCAGGGGGAACTGCACTTCCACGGAGGTGGAAGGGACAGTAGCCAACCCGGGAAGAACCAGCAGCAAACCCGGGGAGGGCCGAGCAGACGAAAGAACAGCGCAGGGTCCTGTGTCGTTCCTCCACGAAGAGGGGGAGCGACATAATGGTGCCGTGACTCGGATATGAAGCCTAGGCAGGACTTAGTGTCGTTCCTCCACGAAGAGGGGGAGCGACACGACACACTATCTTTTTGATCAGTTGTGTATTTATATTTGTCACTTTACCAAGTGTGCTGGCATTGGTACCTGCCTCCTTGGTAAAATTGAGCTGAAATCCCCTTGCACATTTCTAGTTCCACCATTGGAGGTAGGTCTGAGTGAGTATGTGCCATCCTATATATCTCCTCCCTCTCTTATTCCCACTCCCATGTTCCACAGAGATCAATTTCCTGTTAATTTTTAAATGCTTAAGAATGGTTGTGCATTGATTGCAGAGTTCAACCAGTGGTCTTGTGTAGAGCATACCGAGCAACAACAACAACAACAAAAATACTAAAGGAACAAAATAGTAAGTTTTTCCCTCAACAGTCTAGACAAGGGCTGCTCATGTCATTGTCTCTCATAGTGTCCATTTCACTTCAATGGGTATCATTTTAGGTGCTCGTTTAGTTGCCATCGATCAGGGAGAACATGTGATATTTATCCCTTTTGGACTGGCTTATTTCACTCAGCATGATGTTTTCCAGCTTCCTCCATTTTGTTGTGAATGCCCGGATTTCATTGTTTTTTACTGCTGTACAGTGTTCCATAGAGTACATATCCCATAGTTTCTTTATCCAGTCATCCGTTGATGGACATTTAGGTTGATTCCATGTCTTAGCTATTGTGAGTTGAGCTGCAACAAATATTGAGGTGCAAATGGCTTTTTTCACCCCTTTAATTCCATTTGGGTATATTCCAAGGAGTGGGATGGCTGGGTCCTGTGGAAGTGCTATATTCAGGTTTCTGAGGACTCTCCAGACTGTCTTCCATAGTGGCTTTACCAGCTTGCATTCCCACCAACAGTGGGTTAGTGTCCCCTTTTCCCCACATCCTCGCCAGCATCTGTTGTTGGTTGATTTCTGTATGTAAGCCAATCTAACCGGAGTGAGGTGGTATTTCATTGTGGTTTTGATCCACATTTCCCTGATGGCTAGGGATCCTGAGCATTTTTTCATGTGTCTGTTGACCATTTGGATTTCCTCTTTTGAAAAATGTCTGTTAAGGTCCTTGGCCCATTTTTTTATTGGGTTGTTTGTTTTGATTCTGTGGTGTTTCTTGATCATTGTGTAGATTCTAGTTGTTAATCCTTTATCTGTTGTGTAGTTTGCGAATAACGTCTCCCATTCTGTTGGTTGCCTCTTCGCTTTCCTGACTGTTTCCTTTGCTGTTAAGAAACTCTTTAATTTGAGGTAATCCTATTTGTTTATTTTATCTTTGATTACCCGTGCCTGTGGGGTCTTCTCCAGGAACTCTTCGCCTATTCCGATATCTTGAAGGGTTTCCCCTATGCTCTCAATTAGTTTCATGGTGTCGTGGCGCAACTCTAGTTCTTTGATCCATGTTGAGTGGATTTTTGTATAAGGTGTAAGGTAGGGGTCTTGCTTCATACTGCGGCATGTGGACATCCAGTTTTCCCAGCACCATTTGTTGAAGAGGCTGTCCTTGTTCCAGGGGTTGGTTTTAGGTCCTTTGTTGAATATGAGTTGGTTATAGATGTTTGGATTGATCTCCGGTCTTTCTATTCTGTTCCATTGGTCTATCCATCTGTTTTTGTACCAGTACCAGGCTGTTTTGATTATAACTGCCCTGCAGTATGCCTTGAAGTCTGGAATTGTGATGCCTCCGGCCTTGTTTTTATTGTAAAGGATTGCTTTATCTATTCTGGGTCTCCTGTTTCTCCACATGAATTTCAGCATCATTTTTTCTAGGTCTTTGAAGAATGACTTTGGTATTTTGATTGGTATTGCATTGAACTTGTAAATTGCTTTTGGGAGAATGAACATTTTGATGATATTGATTCTTCCAATCCATGAGCAACACATACGTTCTTTTTTTTTTTTTTTAGTGTTGTTTTTTTTTTTTTTGACAGGCAGAGTGGACAGTGAGAGAGAGACAGAGAGAAAGATCTTCCTTTGCTGTTGGTTCACCCTCCAATGGCCGCCATGGCTGGTGCGCTGCGGCCAGCGCACTGCGCTGATCCCATGGCAGGAGCCGGGTGCTTCTCCTGGTCTCCCATGGGGTGCAGGGCCCAAGCACTTGGGCCATCCCCCACTGCACTCCCGGGCCACAGCAGAGAGCTGGCCTGGAAGAGGGGCAACTGGGACAGAATCCGGTGCCCCGACCGGGACTAGAACCCGGTGTGCCAGCGCCGCAGGCGGAGGATTAGCCTAGTGAGCCACGGTGCCGGCCAACACATACGTTCTTAAAAAGAACATCGCGTCCCCGAGTGGCATCATGGAAAACGGGGGAGCTGGTCACTCGGAGTCCACGTTCCACAGACATCACAGCGGGCAGAGGCTGTTGACCTCTGGAATCTAATCTCAAACACACGCAAGGAACGGAGGCCCGAGAACAGAGCATTTCTGCTGACTGCCCACCAGTCCTCCACCCCCAACACAGCACGGGCAGCCGGCGGGTGGCAGCGCACAGCCCAGGAAGCCACGTCAGGCCCTGCTCTGAAAATGCTGCAGCCGCGACTTCTGACCCGTCCAGGGTTTCCACAAGCGGCTGACACCACGGCTGCCCTCGGTTTCATCGCCCCCCTGGGCTGAGTGGCTCTGTGGGATGCGCACTCTCTGCCGGAAGGGTTCAGAGACACACACCGCTCGTGCCCGCCTGGGACAAAGAGCAGCAGATGAGGGACGCGGCAGACCACAGGTCGAGGAGGAGCAGGCAGCCCCTTGCAGGGAGCAGTGTTCCGGGACCACTGCACAGGAGGGGGCGGGGGCAGCCGTGCAATGCGCACCTGCAGGACTGGATGGGCGAGGCCACGAGACAGGCACTCGTGTTCTGCGTAGACCTGGAGGTGGCCTGGACTTGCCTTGACAGAGTGCCCCAGTTTAGAGACAAGTGACAAAAACTTAAAAACTGGAAAAGTCATCTCTCTCTCTCTCTCTGAATGCAGCTTTTCAAGGACACATCTGTCCAGCCTTGAAGAAGCATCCGAGCTTGGAGCCAGGCTGCCACACCTGACAGCGTGATTGGCTTCTCTCCACCTCTGTCCCTTGGATCCATGAATGTAGGGAGTATCTATGAAGTCACGGAGATAACGGAATAGCACTTCCGTACAACAAGGAGCACAGCTGTATAAGCAGTCTGAAAGTCACCACGTCAACAAACAGCTGCAGGCCAGGAGCCACAGCGGCAGACCCACGGGAAGGGACCCAGAGTTGCCGTCTGTGGTAGGCACAGCCCTGTTTCCAACTCAAGATCACAGAGCCCGGAAAGGAACGGGGAAGCACGGCCCAGTCAAAGGAAAAACAGACAGAAACCAGCCCTAAGGAAGCGCAGATGTTGGACTTCACAGCCAAAGACTCAGCCATTCAACGTGCTCAAAAACCAAAGGAAACTGGGAGTGCCGTGCCTGAATGAGAAGAGAATGTCAATAAAGGCAAAATCAAGAGGACCTACTGTGAGCCCCGGGACTGAGCAGCGGAGGTGAAGTGAACATTCAGCAGCAGGCTCCAACAGCAGGTTAAGGAGGGCAGGAGAGTCAAACAGTGCACCTGAAGACAGCGCTGCTGATCCTGAGTCCTGGGAGAAGGAGGAGTGGACACAGCCCGAGACCTGGAAGACATCATCCGTGGGTCACCGGCAGCCCCCGGGGGGTGGGGGGAGGCCAGAAGCAGCACTGGAAGGAACGGTGGCTGCAAGCTCCCCGCATTCGGGGAAAAGCGGGGTCCACGCCAGGAGGCTCAAGAACTGCAAGCAGAACACCTTGGAGGGACGACACTGAACACATCCCAGCCAGGCTGCAGAACACCTTGGAGGGACGACGCCGAGGCACAGCACGACCAGGCTGCAGACGCGGAGAGAGGACCGAAAGCCGCACGAGGGCAGCGGGTTCTCGGCTGCACCGCCGCCCGACTTCTCAGCAGACAGCGGAGGCAGTGCGATCACCTACTTAATTTAAAGGCAAAAAACCAAAAGCCGTATTTAAGAATTCTACATCGAGCAAGACCACCGTTTGAAGTGAAGGAAAGACGAAGCCATTGCCGGATAAAGAAGAGCTGCGGTGCCGTTACCACCAGCCGGCCCCACGAGAAGGCGGAAGAGAGATCTGGAGAAAGCAACCCAGCGCCGTGTGAGGGACTCATGATCTCTGGTAAGGACACGGAGGTGAACACGAGAGCCGGCGTGACTGGGCCTTCAGCCGGTCACTCTGTTTTCTATTTCCTACTTGGATTGAAAGACAAATGCACAAACCACAATTGTAATTCTATGTTAGTAAGGATACGGCATGCAAAGAGGCGACTTTTTACGATAATGTGCAGAGGACCAGGGTGTTGTATGCGAATGAAACTAACTTGGCATCGATCCAAATTATACGGTGATACATTTAGTGTGCTTTTGTAATTCCCTTTGGAACCACTAAGAGGATATCAACAACAAAGTGAAATAAGAGAAATCAGAACAATCCGTCACAACACAGCGAAGGCAGCAACTGAGGAAGTGAAGAACAAACGAAAAGGTATGAAACAGAAAAAAAGGAAGAGAAGTAAAATCTCACTTATCAAGTAATTTAAATGTAAATGGATTAATCTCTCCAATCAAAAAGCAGAGATGTATTTAAAAACACAATCCCATTATATACAGCTTACAAGAGACTCACTCTGGAACCTAAACTGAAAACTAAACCTGAAAAATTGCAGGCCAGCACTGTGGCGGCCTAGAGGTAAAGCTGCTGCCTGCAGCGCCCACATCCCATATGGGCGTCTGGCTGCTCCTCTTCCGATCCAGCTCTCTGCTGTGGCCTGGGAAAGCAGTGGAGGATGGCCCAAGTGCTTGGGCCCCTGCACCCATGTGGGAGACCTGGAAGAAGCTCCTGGCTCTTGGCTTTGGATCGGCGCAGCTCCGGCTGTTGCAGCCAAGTGGGGAGTGAACCAGTGGACGGAGGAGCTCTCTCTCTCTGCCTCTCCTTCTTTCTCTGCGTAACTCCGCCTTTCAAATAAATAACAAAATCTTTAAAAAAATTTAAAAGATCTAAATAAATAGAAATAAACCCATGTTCATGGATTGGAGGACTTATTATTGTCAAGATGGCAACACTACCCACAGCTATCTACAGATTTAAAACAATCCCTATGAAAGTCTCAGAGGAGGAAACTGATTTATCAGTGACAGACAAATGGACAAACGAGACAGAGTCCAGAAATGAGCTCATATATCCTCAGCCAGCTGAGCTTTTGGCGAGGGTTCCAAGACTGTCCAAAGATCCCCATGGGGAAAGAATACTCTTGAACAACTGGTGCCTGGACACCTGGATGTCCACACGTAAAACAGTGACACCAGAGCCCCGCTTTGCATGCACACAAAAATGAACTCAGAGTGGACCAATGACAACGTTCATGTAAGATGGATCTTGTTTAAAAGAGCAACCCCAGACCCCAAGTGGATCAACCGTAACATTCACACAGAAGCAACCACGAACCCCCAAGCAGAACACGGGGCAGAGCTCCAGGACCTGACGCTTGGTGGTGGACTCTTGGTTCTGCCACCATCAAAATCATAAACTTTCAGCCGTCACAAGACGTTATCAGAAAGTGGTCAGACAACAGTGGATTTCAAATCAAACATCTGAGAAGGACCTGCTCTCTAGAAATGTACAGGGAGCTCTCACACGTCACAACAGAAGCACAAACAATCCAATAAAAAATGGGCGAATCCCTCACACGTCACAACAGAAGCACAAACAATCCAATAAAAAATGGGTGAATCCCTTGAATTGGCGTTTTCTCTGGGGAGCATAAGTTCACATGGGCAGTAAGTGTGTGAAAAGTGGCTTGGCATCGTTAGTCACTGGGGAAATGCAATCAAGACCATCTGGTACCACCTTACACACAGCAGGGTAGCTGTGGATGAAAATAATCTCACTTCCTAGAACTGCATCTATGAAAAAGATGAAATCTGTTTTCTTTATATTAATACAAATTTAAAAAAGAAAATAATTTGAACAATTTTGGAGAGGCTCCTCCCACATTGCTGGTGGGAGTGACAGTGGCGTCATGACCATGGCTAGCTGTGTGCTAATTCCTCCCCAGAAATTCCACTGCTAGGTCTACCAAGAGACTCCAGAGTGCTCATGCCAAAAATGAAATAAGGTTATTCAGGTTTAGGCAATTTTTAACTCCATGTATAGCTTTTTTTTCATATTAGGATTTCCATGACCTTTCTGAAGGTCCCTTATATGCTCACAGGAATTGGAAACATCCCATTACTACTCGCGGAAGCCAGACACGCTGAGATGGCCCAGTGTCTGTCAGGGGGTCTACACTGACAAGGGACGATGACTCAGCTGCACAAAGGCGTGAAGGCCTGATACACGAGGCAGCATGGACGAACCTTGACAACGTCACGCTGCAGGAGCCGGAGGGGAAGTTCACCTGTGTGGGATTCCGTGTGCACGGCGGGTTCAGAACAGGCAAATCTGTGGAGACTGAGTGCAGACGGGTGGTTGCTGGGGCCTGGGAGAGGGGCCGCGGGCAGCAAGGGCACTTCCTTTGGGAAGGGCGAGGCGACTTGGGAACCAGAGGTGGGGCTCACACAGCCCTGTGGCTGGACACTGGTTCCCTGGACGTGGCTGGTTCTGTATTGTGCAAATTTCACCGCAGTGAAATTGTTGAGTTCCACTGTAAGCATGGACACACCGTTGGTGTCTAAAGGTGATCTGGCCCGTTCGCTAGCAGGCTGGCAAGCTGGGAACTGGGCAACACAGAAAGCAGCTGGCAGCCATTGCAAGGATAAAAACAAACGTGCATCTTACAGGGTAATTCCAGAGGGAGAAGAGTTCTGAACTTCTACAGGGCTCCACGGCCCACGCTGTGTGCCCCGACCCGGGTGCTCACTGGGGATGGCAAAGAGCTCGCAGGCCTGGGAGGACCTTCCACCACGGCAGTGACAAGACGGGGCAACAGTGGCAGGGCGGGGAGGGCCACCTGAGTGAACCCGTCCCAGGTCAGCAGAGGTGAGGCCGAGACTGCAGCAAGCAGAGCAAGCCAGGGGGTGTGCAGTTCCTGGGGGACACCAGAACCTCCAGGGTCCGGACGAGGACCCCGGCTGAGGCTGGCACTCCCAGCATGCCAAGCTGCAGTTAACAGGTGGAGTAGCCCGGACCTTGCACCTTGTGTACCTGAGCCAGCAGTCCAGGTACACAGGTGCAATCACAAACACACCCAGAACTCATACCAAAAGCTATCTCATGGCAGTAACTGGGCACTCTGCCTCAAGGGCCAGCAGTGAAGAACAGCTGCCCAGGGTTTGTGGCGCTGCCCAGTCTGGGACTACCCACCGCGTGCGCTGCAGTAACTTCCTGGAGCCAAGCAGGAAGCAAGAGCCTCTGGCGGTCAGAATCTCTGAGTCGCTCAAACTAAGAACACATGTGTAACATGTAAAGAATTCTTGATGTTAGTGCAACTGCTGTGACTTTAAATCACAATTCTAAGAGAAAATACTTTCTAAAGGTCCTAAAAGAAGCCTAAGTGACTTCTTACAATTAGAAACAGAAGACAGAAGGCTTCAACAATGGCACTTTCTGTGGCATTTAACTGCAAACATGAGCCACTCCGTTGCATCTCTCACTACAGCCACACCCTGTGTGATAGCATTAGGGGGCATTACCCTGAGACTTACCTATAAGAAGAAAAATCAGTGTAAACGTGATACCTAGGGTAATCTTCCAGGAGCGAGGTATCCTAAACATAAAACAAAACAAAACGAAGAACTTAGCAATGCAACCGATCACCACTAGCCTTTAGCTTGGACATTAGATTATACCTATTTTATCTGAGTCAACAAAGTTGCCTGTTCTCATTCTTGCTTATTCTAGGCTGAGTCTGTGAATTAACTTAATTCCCTTCTATAAAATGTTTATTTATCTTATTTGAAAGGTAGAATTGGAGTGGGGGAGAGGAAGGGGAGGAGGGAGGGAGGAAAGAGAGAGATCTTCCATCCGCTGACTCACTCCCCAAATGGCCTCAGTGGTCAGCAGGGGTTGGTCCAGGTTTCTGAACCAGGAGACCCGATCTCCATTTGAGTAGCAGAAACCCAGGCACTCAGGCCATCTTCCATCGCCTTCCCAGGCAAATCAGCAGGGAGCTGGGTCAGAAGTGGACCAGCCAGGACTTAAACCTGCACTCCAACATGGGATACCCGTGTTGCAAGCTGTGGCTTAACCTACTGCTCACAACGTCAGCCCTAACAATTCTTAATCCATTATCTTTGAGGAAAATGTTTTCTCCTGGTGTATATATGTAGACACGCCCACACCCGTCACACACACATCACTGTTCTGTTGCTCTAAGCCTATTTATACTCTCTATGCTGGTTAGAAGGAACAACAAAGGAGCTTTGCCTAGAAGTCTTGAGTGAGCTAAAAGCAAAATGAAGGAAAAAGGTCATGCTCTGATTTTTTGGAAATTAGGTATTAAGTTAAAGAACGTTAAAAAAAAAAAGTCTGAAAAATCCTTATGTCATCCTAACTTTTCCCCTGCCTTATGTTGAAGTACAGGAAAGTGTGCCAACCCTAACCACACAGCCATGGGCCTGCAGAGTGGACGGAACCACACAGAGTCAGCATCCTAACTGCACAGCCACGGGCCTGCAGAGTGGACAGAACCACACGTCAGCAATCCTAACCACACAGCCACAGGCCTGCAGAGTGGACGGAACCACACAGAGTCAGCATCATAACCACACAGCCACGGGCCTGCAGAGTGGACGGAACCACGTAGCGTTAGCAATCCTAACCACACAGCCACGGGCCTGCAGAGTGGACGGAACCACGTAGCGTCAGCTTCCTAACCACACAGCCACGGGCCTGCAGAGTGGACGGAACCACGCAGCGTCAGCTTCCTAACCACACAGCCACGGGCCTGCAGAGTGGACGGAACCACGCAGCACCAGCCAGAACCAGAAGCAGGGCACCCTCAGCACCCTCCCCTGCAGAGGCGCGTGAAGCCCTGGCCTGAGATGTGGCTGTACCTGGAGCTGAGTTCTTGGGAGCTAAACAAGGTGACGTGGGGTCCTAATGGTGGGCCCAGTCTCCTAACATTGCTGTCTTGGTGAAAGACCGGATCATTTTCTCTCTCTGGGCACACAGCAAGACGGGCACAGGAGGACCCAGCGAGAAGGCATCCACCCCCAAGCCAGGCTGGGAGCCCTGGCCAGAGACAGAACCAGCGTGAACTTCGATCTTGGACTGGCAGCCTCCAGAACTGAGAGAAACCAACTTCTGTGCAAGCCACTCGGAGTGTGGATTTTTTTTTTTAAGGAAGTCAAGCAGAGGAACACATCTAGCCCATCAAAAGCTCCCCAGGTGCCCCGTGAGACCCTCCCCCTTCCCCTCCACCCGCCAGCTCTCCTGAGCTCTGCCCCCACCAGCAAGCCTTGGCGGCTCTGAGCTCTGTGCCGGTGCAGCCAGGTGTCTGTGTGCTCCGTCCGGCGGCCTCTGCTCGGCATCCTGTCCACGAGGGTCGCCGAGGCCTTGTGTGTGGCCGTGGCTCACTCAGCCCCGTGACTGTGGAGTGTCCATCGCGGGACCACACCACATGGGTATCCATCCCAACAGTGCAGACATGCGGGGCTTTGACGAGCAATGCAACTGTGAGCGCTCTCCGTGTGTCTCACTCAGGGGCACTCCCAAGACGCTGCTGCTACGGGGGTGTGCACTGTGCATGCTACAAAGGATTCGGCAGCTACAAGGGGTGTGCACGCTACCAGGGATTCGGCCAGCTACAAGGGGTGTGCGCGCTACCAGGGATTCGGCCAGCTACAAGGGGTGTGCACGCTACAGAGGATTCAGCCAGCTTTACAATGTGCCCACAGTGAAAAGCTTTTCACACTCAATCTTTTCAAAAACCCTACAGGAAAACAAAACGAAAAGCAAAAAGCTAGCCACAGAGTCTGATGAAGCCAAGGCAGAAGCTGTGAGCTTCCGCACAAAGTATTGCTAGGGGGCGAACCACAACATTCGTCTTAAAACTTAAGAAAAACCAGATTGGGGTGGATCGCTGGTTAATGAACTGCAGAGGTGACTCAGGACAGGAGAGCCTGGGTCAGGATGGAGGACGTGCGGGCGGCACTGGCCCCAGAATTCACGACACTTCAGCGACCTGGCCTCCAACTGTCGCCTGCTGGCCCCGCACTGGTCTCGTCCACCACCTGCTCCAAGAACAGGAGGGGGGACAAAGCAGACGACGAGGTCCAGAAGTGCTGCGATTCGAAGGGGACCCCAGAAAGCTCACGGAGGGGCCGGTGCTGTGGCCTACCGGGTTAAGCTGCCGCCTGCACGCCGGTGTTCCATGTAGGCACCGGTTCCGTCCCGGCTGCTCCACTTCTGATCCAGCTCCCTGCTAGAGTGCCTGGGAAAGCAGCGGAGGAGGGCCCAAGTGCTTGAGCCCCTGAACCCATTTGTGAGACCCGGAAGAAGCTCCTGGCTCCCGGCTTTGGCCTGGCCCAGCCCTGGCTGTTGTGACCATATGGGGAGAGCGCCAGCAGATGGAAGACCTCTCTCTCTTTCACCCTCCCGGAATGTGCCACCCAGTGCCCCAGAGAATCTTCGGAGGGCTCTACCCCTGCGTCCAGCAGCGTGCTCGCTGGCCACCCAGGTTTACGAGATGCTGCTAAAAGCAACCAAGGAGAGAGTTCTCCCACCTCTCCTCTCCAGGGAAGTAGAGTCTTGAAACCATCCTGTCCCTTTAAGTATTATTGGTGGCACGGGGAGTGGCAGGGGTCCACTGTCAGCTATTCACAGGTGGGCTGAATTGGAGCAAAAGTGAGGCAGGCCTCACCACATTTACCAAAGATGAGTTAATGACTGAAAGCCCCGGCTGCCAGGCTGTGCCGCGCCGAACTCCCATGCCCCCACTCGGCCTGTGGGGTTGCCCACCTAGCGTGAACGTGTCTATCATCACCGCGGTGCTCGGATGCGGCTCCTCTTGGACCGACAGCTCTCAGGCCTCCCTTTTCTCTCTACCAAAAGCCGTTTTCCATTAATTTCATTTTTTGTTTTCCCAGCGGGCAGCAGGTGGGGACACAAACAACAGCTCAGCTGTCTTTGATCCACCCATGCCTGCAGGCTTCCCTGTCGTCTCCCAGGCAACGTGGGTCTCCACTGCTAGACCGGTGAGCTGGGCCTCACCCAAGGGTGTGACAGAAGCCACCGTGTCCAGCACCCCGTGGACGGCACACACTGGACAAGCGTGCCCACCAAGGACGCCGTGAATCATTGGTAAGCTTCTAAGTCATTGCACCTGATGTCCCTCGTTTCTCAAAGGACACCACGGGAAGTGCTGTGACGGACAGCAAGCTTCAGGGGGACGCTGGTGGTGGCACTGGCTGGGTGAGTGCCCGGATGGGCGGGGCACGAGTAGAGGGGAGGGCTCAGGGACCTGGCTCTGCTGTTACCCACCCGTGTGCCTCGGGGTTTTCCGGCTCGGAGAGCAAACCCTGAAAACTGGCGCTGCAGCAGGCTCCTTCGGGGCTGCCTCGGAAGAGCCCCACGCCCCTCCTCAGCTGCGGCCGGCCACTCATCATCCTGGACCAGCGCAGAGCCGGCGGCGAGGGTCACTCGCTCCCCCGTTCCTGTGGGGGGGGGGGGATGGAGCTGCACACCAGCAGTTTCTGCCTCGTCTTCCTCCTCCTGTCCCTCAGGGGAAGGCAGGAGGGGCGGCGGCCGGGGTGGGGCCCCGCCTCCTCTATTGCATCACCTCTGAGCCGCCTCACAATGGCAGCCCGGCCAGCTCGCCCAGGCCGGGCACCAGCACACTGCAGCCCTCTGCTGAAGCCACACACACAGTCCTGCACCTCGCACCTGGTAAATCCATCAGACAAGACAGAGCCCTCCCACCCAGCAACTCTGGACGTTCTGCTCTGTTACTCTCTTCTTAAGTATCAGAAATATTCCCATTATTCTATTTCCCACCGAAAACTACAACCTGAACGTGGATGGATTCCATTTCTGTGTGTTTCTGATATTTTACTGCATAGGTATGAATCTATATAGTAAGGTTTTTGTAAATTGAAATAAATGATATTGCACCCTGAGCTGACTTGAAATGTTATCTACCTGGAAATGTATTATTGCAGTTCACTCACCGAAGCAGCTCGAGGACTTTTTTTTTTTTTTTTGACTTTTTTATTTATTTGAAAGGCAGTGAGAGGGAGAGACAGCAAGAGAGAGAGAGTGTGTTTTAGACTGCCTTGTGTAGCGTGGACACTGTAACAATATTAATTCTTGCAATCCATGAACATGGGATATCTTATCATTTACTTGCATCTTCTTCAGCTACTCCCATCAATTATTTTAGTTTCCAGAAAACAAACCGAGAGAGAGAGAGAGAGAGAGAGAGAGAAACTTTTCTATCTGCTGGAGATCCTAGCTAGGAAAGTTAATTAAGAAAAAGAAATAAAAGGCATCCAAATTGAAAAGAGAGATGCAAAATTGTCTACTTGCTGACAATATTATCTTACGTGTGGGTGTTTTAGAAAGGTTGTGGGAAAATGAAATCAAAAGAAAAGTTCACTTTAGTACAAAACAAAGTTTGAAACCCAAACATTTTTTAAATAAAGGGTATTTCCATGAACTTTTTGAAGATTGCTTGTATAGAGAAAGACTCTACCAATAAAGCTTTTAGAACTGATAAAGAATTCAAGGCTGGTGTCGTGGCTCACTAGGCTAATCCCCTGCCTGTGGTGCTGGCACCCCGGGTTCTAGTCCTGGTTGGGGTGCCGGATTCTGACCTGGTTACTCCTCTTCCAGTCCAGCTCTCTGCTGTGGCCCGGAAAGGCAGTGGAGGATGGCCCAAGTGCTTGGGCCCTGCATCCGCATGGAGGAAGCACCTGGCTCCTGGCTTCCGATTGGTGCAGCGCGCCGGCCATGGCGGCCATTTCGGGGGTGAACCAAAGGAAGGAAGATCTTTCTCTCTGTCTCTCTCTCTGTCTAACTCTGCCTGTCAAAAAAAAAAAAGGATTCAGTAAAGTTGCAGGTTACAAAATTAACATGAAAACTCAGTAGCTTCTATACAATGAACTATCTGAAAAAGAAATTAAGAAAAATATCTCATTATCAACAAAATTAATTAAACTACTGAGGAGTAAATTTAAGCAAAGATGTGTAAAACCTGTATCCCGGAAACTACAAGAATTGATGAAAGTAACTGAAGAAGATTCAAATATGACAAGCTATCCCATGTTCAAAGGTTGGAAGAGTTAATACTGTTAGCGTCCATACCGCCCAAGGCAGTGAACAGACTCAGTGCCATCCGCTCCAGCTCCAGGGGTGTTTTTCACACAAATTACAAGCACAAAGCTAACATTCATGTGGACCCAAAAGGCCAAAGCAATGCTGAGCAAAAGAACAAAGCGGAGGGCATCCTATTACAGGAGGTAAACTGTACTGCAGAGCCCGAGGAACCCTAAGAGGCTGGTGCTGGTACAAAGGCAGGCACCAGGGGACAGAGGGAGGTCCCAGGAATCCACCCACACCCACACGTATTCAGTCAGCTCAGTTTTATCAAGGTGGTCAGGAGGAGGCTGGTGCTGGGGCACAGCAGGTTAAAGCCCTGGCCTTACGCACCAGCATCCCATATGGGCGCTGGGTTCTAGTCCCGGCTGCTCCTCTTCCGATCCAGCTCTCTGCTATGTCCTGGGAAAGCAGTAGATGGCCTAAGTCCTTGAGTCCTTGCACCCACATGGGAGACCTGGAAGAAGCTCCTGGCTCCTGGCTCTTGGCTCCGGATATCGGCTCAGTGAACCAGCAGATGGAAGACCTCTGTCTCTACCTCTCTCTGTAACTCTTTCAAATAAACAAAATAAATCTTTAAATAAAAAAAAAAGGTTGTCAAGAGTACACAGCGGGAAAGAACAGTCTCTTCAGTAAATGGTGCTAGGAAAACTGGATATCCACTTGCAGAAGAATTAAATCAGGCCCTTACCCTACATCATCCATAAACCTTAACTTGAAAGGCACTGAAGATTTAAATGGAAGAACTGAAACTATAAAATGTTTAGAATAAGACAGGGGAAAAGCTCCTTGACACTGGTCGTGGCAATGATCGTTTTTTTTAAGAGAAAGGTCTTCCTTCCACTGGTTCACTCCCCAAATGACCAAAATGGCTGGAGCTGCACCAATCCGAAGCCAGGAGCCAGGAGCCAGGAGCCAGGAGCTTCCTCCAGGTCTCCCATGTGGGTTCAGGGCCCAAGCACTTGGGTCATCCTCCACTGCCCTCCCGGGCCACAGCAGAGAGCTGGACTGGAAGAGGAGCAGCCGGGACTAGAACCCAGTGCCCATATGTGATGCCGGTGCCACAGGTGGAGGATTAGCCAAGTGAGCCATGGCGCCGGCCCCAGGAAATCAAATATTTGATAATGGGTTTACAGCCACACTGCATAAGAAATTTATGCAACTTAACAGCAAAGAAATAAATGAGCATACCAACCCACAAGTAACTCAATCAAAAATTGACCTGAATAGACATTTTCCCCAAGAAGACATACGACTGCCCAACAGGTGTACGAAAAGATGCTCCACATCTCTAATCATCAAGGAAATGCGAATCAAAACCGCTATCAGATGTTGTCTCATGGCTGTCAGGATGGTTGGTACCAAAAAGAGAACTAGCAAATGTTGGCAAAGATGTGGGGAAAGGGACGTCTTGTATACAGCTGGTGGGTACATACAGTGTGCAGCCTGCTCGAAAAATTAAACATTAAAAATTAAAAATGGAAGGGCTGGTGCCTGTGGCATAGGAGGTTAAGCCTCCAGCTGCGGCAATGGCATCCCATATGGGCGCCGGTTCATGTCCCGGCTGTTCCACTTCCAATCCAGCTCTCTGCTATGGCCTGGGAGAGCAGCAGAGGATGGCCCCAGTGCTGGGGCCCCTGCACCCCTGTGGGAGACCTGGAGGAAGCTCTGGGCTCCAGCTGTTGTGGCCATTTAGGGAGTAAACCAGTGGATGGAAAACCTTTCCGCCTCTCCCTCTGTCTGTAACTCTGCCTCTCAAATAAATAGAAATGTTTTTTAAAAAAGAAAAGATTATGAATGGAGTTCCCCATGAACCAGCAGCCTCCCTTCAGAACACACACCCAGAGGAAGTGAAAGCCGCGTGTCCAGGGGATGTCTGCATCCTTGTGTTCATCTCAGCCTTAGTCACACACCTGCCAGGCATGGAAAGAGCCCGACGTCCACTGACGGGCGAGTGGACAAGGATGGGACCAGCTCTTGTTCAGTAGAAAGGCGGGACATCGTGATGACATGGACGAACCTCAGGCTAAGAGACAAGGCAGACGCCGGATGCTGTCACTCACACGTCCCAGGGCAGGCACTCGGCCCGTGATTAGGACCCTGGGTAGGACATCTGTGCCCCACATCAGAGTGCCTGGCTCCAGCCCCTGGCTCCAGCTTCCTGCCAGTGCTCACCCTGTGAGGCAGCCGTGACGACTGGCCCCTCACGGGGGACTGGCCCCTCATGGGGAGACCTGCCCCGGCTTCCTAGCTCCCCAGTGTGGCCCAGCTGCGGCCTGGCCATCGCAGGCATTCTGGAGTGAACTAGTTGTCAGTTGTCTTGCGTTCTCTCTCTCTTTCTGTGACTCTCTGCCTGTATGTTCAAAAACTTTTTAAACATTAAAAAGTGAAATTTACAGAAGCAGGGAGCAGAACGCCGGTTGCTGGTGGCTGAGGAGTGGGGAGAAGCCGTGGAAACCCACAACTCCATCCTGCTCCTTGGAGCCCGGGCGTGAGGAAGCCGGCGGCGCCAGGGCCTTTCGGCTGCTAGGGGACGGGGACGGGAACCAGGAGGGACAAAGGCAGGGGAGGGAAGTGCAGGAAATGAAGATGCTTCCTGGGAGAGTAAACAAAGCAGCTCCCCTCCCCGCAACAGCAGGGAGAAGCCAGGGCCCAGGCGTTGGGGAGGGCCGTGGCCAATCAGGACCCGCACTTAAGCAGTTTCCCCTCCTCTCAGGCATAAGCAAGAGGTCTCTGTACCTAATCTCTGCCCTGCCCCCACTGGAACCAACCTGAGCAGGAAGCCAGATCCTACGGGAGGGCTCCTGGCTCTGCTGACCGCAGAGGTCCAGCACAGCGTGGTCAGTTACACGGGGACCTGCGGGAGACACAGACACAGACGCTGTCTCATTACAAACAGGACCCCTGGTCTGGCCCTGCAAACACCTGTGATTTCAATCACACCCCTAGAGCAAAACTGGCTCCCAGGGAATGCTCCCCGGGTCTTCCCGCTCACTGAGGACCTCAGCGGCTGCAAGGAAGCTCCTGGTGCAGCTGGCCCTGCACTGCACAACGCGCAGAGGTGCCCCTTGCACTGTGGCAGCTGAGGGTCTGCGCTAACTTGCCAGGCCCTGCCCCCGCTGAGCTGGGTGACCCCTGCCTTCAGGCCAGGCCCTGTCCCGCTGTGTGTGAGACACCTGCCTCCCAGGCCAGGCCCTGCCCCGATGTGTGTGACATCTGCCTCCAGGCCAGGCCCTGCCCCCGCTGAGCTGGGTGACACCCGCCTCCCAGGCCCTGCCCTCGCTGTGCTGGGTGACACCTGCCTCCAGGCCAGGCCCTGCCCCGCTGTGCTGGGTGACACCTGCCTCCAGGCCAGGCCCTGTCCCGCTGTGTGTGAGACACCTGCCTCCAGGCCAGGCCCTGTCCCACTGTGTGTGTGACACCCGCCTCCCAGGCCCTGTCCCGCTGTGTGTGAGGCACCTGCCTCCCAGGCCAGGCCCTGCCCCCGCTGTGTGTGTGACACCTGCCTCCAGGCCAGGCCCTGCCCCCACTGTGCTGGGTGACACCCGCCTCCCAGGCCCTGCCCCCGCTGTGCTGGGTGACACCTGCCTCCCAGGCCCTGCCCCACTGTGCTGGGTGACACCCGCCTCCCAGGCCAGGCCCTGCCCTCACTGTGCTGGGTGACACCCACCTCCCAGGCCAGGCCCTGCCCCGCTGTGTGTGTGACACCAGCTTCCCAGGCCAGGCCCTGCCCCCGCTGTGTGACACCCGCCTCCCAGGCCCTGTCCCCGCTGTGCTGTGTGACACCCGCCTCCAGGCCAGGCCCTGCCCGGATGTGCTGGGTGACACCTGCCTCTCTACACAGACAAGCACCTGTCCCTGCTGGATGAAGGCTGGACACGGCTGAGGATCCCCGGGTTTCATCCAGAACTGCAGGACACAGCCAGCGCCTCCCCCAAGTTGGTGCCCGGATTCCCAGGGCTGTGCTCGCGTGGGAGAAGCAGAGCCTGCCCAGCTGAAGTCTTGAGTTCACACATTTTTCAGCGAAAGGAGAGCAAGGCTGCTCCCGGTCTCAGCGGCGACGACGGGCTCTGCGGGCGTCTGTCCTGGGGTCACTCCCACGGGGTGGCCGCAGGGAAACGACCCGCGGCCGGCAGCCGGCGCGGGGCCCGCAGGCGACTCCTGCTGACCCAGCCGCAGCTGTGGGCTGCGCCGCCCGGGCCTGCGCGGACTCCATCCCGGCCAGGCAGGGGTCGCCTAACAGACCCAGGCCCAGGCGGTCAAGGCCCGCACTGGCGAACACAGCGCTCAACACGACCCGCCTAGGGCAATGGCGAGCAGCTGGGAGGCCTCCGGCTCTACACCGCAGTGCTATTCCCCGCAAACGAGGAGGTGGGCGGTCAGCTCGCCGCGGGGTCCCCACCGGGCCCGGCCTCGCCCCAGGCAGCAGCGCGATCCCGCCCACGCAGCGCCGGGCTCCGGGCGGTTGACAGACGGCGCCTGCGCCCTGCCGCGGCTCTGATTGGCTAGCTGTTACTCCGCATGCTGCGCCTATTGGCCGCCGGCTCTCCCGCCGCGCCCGCCGGTTGGCCGCCGGCCGTTGCCCTGGCGACGCGGCGCTGTTGTGGTTCCGCGCCGCGCTGGGAATCTGGGGTTGGTCCCGACCAGCCCGCGGTGTCCAAACTCCGGCCGCCGCGCCGCGCACTGGCGGCGACCACCGAGACCCTGGGCTAGCGGGTGAGTCGGGCGGTCAGCGGGACGGGTGCGCACGGGACGGACCCAGGGCAGTGCCTCGGAGCAGGTCTAAGTCCCTCCGCCCTCGATTACCTTCTGTATACCCCGTGTATGCCTGCTGTGTACGCGGCGTGGACCAACCCCTGCTGCGTGCTTGTGACCCCGCTGTGTCCCTGGCGTGGACCGACCCCTGCTGTGTACTCGGCGTGGACCAACCCCTGTTGCATGCTTGTGCGCCCCTGCTGTGTCCCCGACATGGACCAACCCCTGTTGCGTGCTTGTGCCCCCGCTGTGTCCCTGACGTGAACCAACCCTTGCTTGCTGTGTACAAGCTGTCATGTGCCCCCGCTGTGTCCCTGACGTGGACCGACCCCTGCTGTGTACGCGGCGTGGACCAACCCCTGCTGCGTGCTTGTGCCCCCGCTGTGTCCCTGACTTGGACCGACCCCTGCTGTATACCCTGACATGGACCGACCTTTGCTGTGTCCCCGACGTGGATCAACCTCTGCTTGCTGTGTACAAGCTGTCATGTGCCCCCGCTGTGTCCCCGATGTGGACCAACCCCTGTTGCGTGCTTGTGCCTCCGCTGTGTCCCTGACGTGGACCGACCCCTGCTGTATACTTGACATGGACCGACCCCTGCTGTGTCCCCGGCGTGGACCAACCCCTGTTGCGTGCTTGTGCCCCTGCTGTGTCCCCGACATGGACGTGCCCTGCTGTGTGCTCTGCATATCGGTGGCCTTGCTGGGCACCTGGAGTGGACAAGTTCCTGCTGTGTCCCCGGCGTGGTCTGTCCCTTCGTTCTCCCTGCACGGACGTGCCCCTGCTGGGTGTGGGCTGGAGGCAGTACACCAGACCGAGCAGGGCGTGTGGACTTTGCCTTGGCAGCTGCAGCTCCAGGCGGGCCAGGCCGGCTGCGCCCTGTGACCCGCACCATGAGGAACGCCAGCAAGGAGGGGCAGGGCCCGGGGCAGCGCTATGCCCCCTGCGGTGAGTGGGGCTGGGGTGCTTCCCTTGTTCTCTGTAACCGTTGAATCCCGCCCATCGCCCGCACCTGTTGCTGAGCGGTGAGGTGACTTAGGAGCGTCCCAGGTGTTTGGTTGACTGCCTGGTTCTTGCTCCCAGGGTGGCTGGCAGCCAGGTTGAAAGCGCTGCCTGCCTGTGGCGGTTGGGGCCAGGAGGCTCCCAGCTTCTTAGCTAGCAGGGAGGGAGGACGCCTCTCGATGCTGCTCTCTGTGCCTTGCTTGAGGTTCCCTCCCACAGCCCGTGGGGCGCTGGCTGGCGAGAGGTGGGGGCCTGGAGCCCCACCAGCTCAGAATTGAAAGCAGATGTGCCCCCACACACCAGCAGTGCCTCCAGCGGGTCTGACTGTCCCCACCGCTGGTGGCACCATGGCAGTGCCGGGGCAGCAGAGCCGGCCAGTTCCCTTTCTCCCGCCCTGGGCTTTGGAGCCATAGGGAGTGGTCGTGTCTGGATGATACCAGTGGACACCAGCAAGGCCGGGCGCTGCTCTCCTCTAACCTCACGCTGGCCCTGTTTTGAGGACAAGGAAGTTGAGGCCTGTGGAGTTTGGCATCAGTGGCCCAGGGTCACACACGCAGCAGGTGGCCCCACAGCCCATGCTGAGATGCCTGCCGGAGCCTGTGCCCTGTGGGCCTGTGGGATTGCCCGCCTCTGCCCATGGCTCAGAGGCCAGAAGGGGGCTGGTGCCGCTCTCAGTGATAAATAAGAGCACGGGTCCCCAGCAGACCAGAGGCACCTGGTCGCACCTGTCACACAGGCACTCACCTGTAGCCCTCCGTGTGCTGTGCACATGGCGAGAGACAGCTAGCATTGGTGCTCGTGGCCTGGGCCCTGGCTCCCTGCCCTTCCCCTTTGCACACGGCTCTCGGTGACCCGCCAGGGTGCAGTCCGCCTGCCCAGAGCCTCCAGTAATGAGAAGAAGGTGGAAGAAACGCTATCCTCAGTGGACTAATTAGTGCACAGCACAGGAAAAACACGGCAAGGGGTGAATGCCTTCCCTCCGAGAGATCCCGAGATCAGAAGTGAAGGTGCGCAACTCTTCTTAATTCTTAAGCTGACTCTTGTGCAGTTATTTAAACTTCTCCGTCTTTGTCCCTTTCAAAACCAGCTGGTGTCGGCTCAGCTGCTCTTCAGGTGGTTAGGTTTCCCACTTGAACATCGCTCATGTTTGTGAGGCGAACCTTGCGTTCTGGGTGCAGAGGGGATGCCTAAGCCGTTAGTGTCGGAGGAGTTACTCCTTGTTCGTGTCTTCCTGGGGAAGACGGACTCCGCGCGTTTTTCCTGTGGACTGATGGATCGCTCGGCGTTCTCCAGGGTGACTGCCGTATCTGTGTGAGGGCCTTTTGAAAGCTCCCAGTACAAGGCCAGCTTATCTTGGTGCAAAACATTTTGAAATCCACGCACGGTTTTTTCCCTGGCACGCATACTCCGGGAACTTTCTGAACTCCCCTCGTACACAGACAGACATGTAAGCAGCTGGCTCCCATGACTGTGGGGCCGCCACCCGGAGATCTGCAGCCGGCCGGCGGCTGGGCCTGCGGAAGAGCCGGCACTGCAGCTCCGGCCAAGGCTGCCTGGAGGCAGAGTCCCTCGTCCCCGAGGCTCCTCAGCCTTTTCTCGGCCCTTCCTCTGACTGGGACGAGACCCACCACCTTAGGGAGGGTCGCCTGCTCTCCTGAAAGTCCACAGATTTAAATGCTATTCTCATTTGATTCACAGAAACAACTAGAATCATGCGTGGCCAAGCTCTGGGCACCACGGCCCCGCCAGCTTGTCACGTGCAGCTCGCCCCTGCACCCAAGTGAACAGGGCCATGGGCAAGATGCTGAAAGCCACAGGTTGTGACGGTGTGTCCTGATCCGTTCAGTGAAGGACTCCAAGCCACGCGTGCCACATGTGCCACGTGTGCCACGTGAACAGCGTTTTGTGTGTTTTGCTTGTTTCCCAGGCTTTCATCAGCCAGGGGATTCTTCTCCTGCGTTTGGGCGTTTGGTTGATGGGTTTCTGATGCAGAGTTGTGTACGCAGCTCAAGTTCAGATGCCCCCAGATCTCCCTGTGGGGCCGTAAAAAGCACGAACACAGCTCCAGGTCCCCGGGGTTCTGCCAGCTCCTGGCAGAAGCTCCCTGAGCTGGGACTCGGCGTCTCCAGGGAGACGCCTAGGTCCCTCAGATGCCCTCAGCTCCAGGCCTCGGGGCCCCTGGCTTTGCCAGGCCCAGCCCACCACAGCACAGCTTTCCGTCCATGGCCCCCGTCTGTGCTGGGCTGGTGGCGTGGTGGGGAGGACGGGCAGGGAGTGAGCTCCCCGTGGTCCTTCCCTGTGCTGCTGCAACCACACAGCTCACTCTCATGTTTCCTCTCCGTCTCTCCCCAGGGAGCCCGACCCCGGCACTCGGGGGCTGTCTGGCCTGAGCAGGTTTCCCCTCCCTGTCCCCGCCTCTCTGAAGCACCCTCTGGCCTCCGCTGCTGCTCACTGTCCAGTTTGGCCACAAATGCCCAAGCAGCTCAGGTGGGCAGGGCCTCAGCTGCTCCAGGAGGCAGGGGCGGTGGCTTCCGCACGGCGGTGCAGTGCCTGCCCTTCCTGCCCTTGTGAAACTGGTGAGCACGGTCCACCTGGCTGCCACTTCCGAGAGAATCTACTTCAGGACGTTTAACACGGGGAATCCATGGGTTTATCTCGGGTACGAGAGGCTTCCGAGAGGCCCAGGAAAAGTGTGTGTTAGGCGGGGGCTGTGCGTGGCCTTCAGAGTGGTTTTGCGCCAACATAAACTCATCTTTTATGTCTGTTTCTCATGAACTTGTTGCAGTCGCGTATCCTAAGTGGTTTGGGATGTCTCAGGATGGTACTCGTGTATCCCCAGTGCTACCAGATACACAGTTAGGTCTTTGTTCTGTGGAGGATTGAGACACAGATACAGGGCTGCGGGTGCCTGCTTGGGAAGCTAACCCTGGGGGAAGAGGCGGGCCCTCGCTTCGTGCTGGGGAGGAGATGGGGAGCAGGGGACAGGTGCTTCCCTTCCGCTGGCACTGGGTGCACCCTGCAGTAGAGGCTGGCGGCAGGGCTCCCAGGAGGGCAGCTCCTTCCCTGCTCGGTGGCCTGTGCTGCCCTGGCCCTGTCACTGCGGTCCTCCCTGACACAGTGCCCCTGCCCCGCCCCCTCCCGTGCAGACTGGTACTACCACCTGCCTGCCAAGCGCTCCGAGAAGCCTGTGGACGCCCCTCCTGCGTCCCAGATCCCAGGGCTCAGCGACCTGGGAGACTCTCCCGGCAGCAGCCTGCCCGGGGCTCGGAGGTACTGGATCAAGGAGACCGACTCGGAGTACGTGAAGCTGGCCAAGCAGGGCGGCAGGCCCGGTAGGTGGGGCGGGGCGCCTGTTCTGTAAAACCTCCCGGTTTCGTGCCGGACCCCAGGACTGAGCCGAGGTGGGAGGTGTGTGGCCTGCTCGGGTGAGCGGACTGTGCAGGCACTTCCTGCCAGCGACTCGCTCCCCTGGGGGCGGTGGGGGGTGCCTGCTTTCTTTGCGCCTTAAAGTCCTTGTCTGGGGGGAGGGGAACTCAGCTCCTGATCCTTCCTGTTTACTCTCATATCCCCTTGTGCATTGTATTTAAATAATGAAGATCATTGACGTTGATGAAGACCCACACCTTTTTCTTTTTTTTTTATCATCCCTTTGTTTTTTTT